ACTATGAGAGGCAGGAGCCAGCAATTTATGGTGAGTGAAGCTAGAGTATAGACCTGTATTTTGCATGTTTCAATTCAAGTTTAATTTAGCTAGTAAAAAAATGGCATCATTTATAATAAAAAAAGTGGTCTAAGTTACCCCATTTTATGGTACCAGTCATGGAAAACCTGGAACGTCATGGAGTTTTATTTTTCATTTTCTTGGCCTGGAAAGTCATTGAATTTCATTTCAGGTCATGGAACGTTGTGGAACAAAAGGTGTTTTGATTTCCCAAGCAATAAGGTTGATGTTGTCCATACTCCATGGCCAGGACCGCAATAAAAAACAGCTTGCGGGCAAGAAGGCAAGTTTACACTTTCAAGACGCAAACTGTTACTTTTGTTGTTGACCGACGTTGTCTGATGTTGATTTATTGAGCCATTATAGGTATTTCATGGTCACGAGAGGTGCCAAGGTCACTGAAGTAGTGCTACTGTGCTTGTGTTCTGTGGACTGGTCTGTAAACATTGATCTGTTCAAAATCTCTAAATACCATGTTTCAAATAACTTATTACTTATAGAATTGCACCATGTGCACTTTTGTTTAGATAGGAGGTAATTAATCTAGTGAGAATCTTACAGTTGAAAAAAATTGGGGAAAGCTCTAGTTGTGGCCCTAAAGATTGATGTTTTCCATGCTAGTATCCTATTGTATTGCTCCATGTGTGGTGCAATTCTAGGATTAGCTGTACACTTATTAGTCTTGGTTAAGGGTGCCCAGTCTTAGTCTGCACTCTGCACTAACTCCCTCCCTCCCACAAAGAATGAGGGGTATAGTGATTCTGGCACTGGGAGACTGGATTTCTGACTGCCCCAAGTTATGAATTTAAAAAGCTTAATTTCAGATCAGAAACTAATTGTCGCCTAAAATTTTTATATTCAATGTAAAGTTAATTTCTAATAAATGATAGAAAATTTGATTTTTTTTTGAAATTTCATATTTAGATTGTAGTAGTATAACTTTATAAGTGTTGAAATGTCAAAGTACCGTACTGAAAATGACAAAGTTTACATTTTCTCCAAGTTGCTGAGCAATACAATACAATATACACATATTCCATATAAGATACATGAATGGCAATTCACAATGTAAATTAAAAAATGAATAATTAAGCAGTAAAATATTAGTTCCCTAGGTTGCAAAATCCTTCAATGCTGCACAGATCACCAGTAACGACAACAAGAGAGTTGGGAGCTTGCTGTCAAATATTGCAGTGTGCACCACTCAAGGCAAAATGTACATGATGCCATCTTATCACAATATTTGATCCGCAATGTCTTAAAGCAAGTATTTTTAGAAACATTTTGTTTGCCATTCAAGATTTAAAATGTGCTTTAATTCTTGTTGAGCAATTTGATTCTAAATTTATTTTCTCTTATGGTTGTAACTTGTAAAAAAAGATTTCATAGATAGACTTCATTACATACTTTATACCGTAAAATGGGGTAACTTAGACCGGCGGGGTAACTTAGACCACTTTTCGTTTTTTACCACGTTTTTCTTAGCTCGCTTTCGTGTCTCTCTGTCTGTGATGATCAAATCTTGCAATCAATATTTCACCAACTTTCCCGCTAGCTAGCGCTCTGAAACTTTTAGGGAAGCTCAGCTACCGATAACAATACAATAATCAACAATTTGTTGCACGTTTCCAGGCGTATTTATTACCGAACCTTTCTTTATTACAGCCATGCGTACCCAGATAAATACGGGAACAACAATGTATCCCCTCGAATACAATTTTCTACAGAACTTACAGAAAAGAATTTTCTTTCGTGCATTTGCGTGGCCAACTGAAATGAAATGAATATTATGTAGGATGGCTGACCTTTGTGCAGTAGTTATAAACTCTAAAGGAACTCACAATTAAGCAGGGGCTGGGAACCTTTAATGCACGTCATCCTCGAGAGGATATTCGTGTTTAGACTGCGTATATCGATGATACGCTTGGTATCATCGATACGTACGTCGAGTCAAGTAAATTCGCTCGCAACAACGTTTTTCATCTGTAGCAACGGACTAAAAAGGAGAAAATAAAATACTTAGAAAACTAAAAAGTAGAAAATAAAATGTATAAAAAAAATTTTTAAAGACCACGTTTTTCATGTGGACTCAAAAGTAGAAAATAATTTTTCGGCAGCTACTGATCTCTGTTTGCTTTCATTCTCTTGGTCTTTTGTATTTCAGTTAAAATATTTTACAACATCTAAAACGAAAAACGTGAGGGGCATATGTATTTAATTGTTTGGTGATTAGGCTACTTGATATGATGAATATGATGGTTCATTGAACATTTGATTGCCGATATAATTCGAAATAGTGGTTGAATTCAAAATTGAAATTAAGGCATGCCTAAATGGAGATGCGCCTCACGTTTTTCGTTTTAGATGTTGTAAAATATTTTAACTGAAATACAAAAGACCAAGAGAATGAAAGCAAACAGAGATCAGTAGCTGCCGAAATCAATTCAAGTTTAATTTAGCTAGTAAAAAAATGGCATCATTTATAAAATAAAAAGTGGTCTAAGTTACCCCATTTTACGGTACTTGTAATGGGAAAATTCACATTTTTCACATTTTACTTGAAAATTTTCATTTCTGTGATGGATTTCACTTGTAACGAAGCATGGAAGTATGGTGCTACAACTTCTATGATAAATTAGTAGAATAAACACATAAATAATTCTTTACATTAGCAATCAATGTTAAGATACTTCAGTAAACCGTACATTTTGTTTGAAGTATATAGCCAAATTATAATTTATGTAACAAGTGTATTATAAGAGTGATACTTTGAAGTTTCTTAATGTTAATGTTAACAGCATTGAAATCTATGTGAAAACATACATTTTCAATGTTTTTTAAACATGTATTTACTCAAAACCTGACTTCAACACTTTCCTGACCACAAATACCCAGCTTCAGTTAACATTATATGTAGGAAACCTGTTTGGGAACGCTTGTCTAAAGAGGTAATGTCATGTGAAACTAAAAGTTGTATACATCCATTCATGAAAATAGGTCAACCTATGGACATTAAATTCTAGTTTAGTCATTACAAAGAACAACCTTATTAAATATCTTGTATTCTTTCAGGATTTGCATTTGGTTAACTCATTTCTTGACATATAATTTTGAAGTGCAGTTCAGAAAATCAAATACTGATTGGAATAGGAGTTTAATTGTATCATTTACTGCAATGCCATGAGTGGCCAGAGGTTCCTCGTTATGGATCCTTCCACCATGAAAGAGGAACAAAATGTCCTCCAACCCTGCAAAATGGCTGCCTTCTTTGAGGTAAAGATCTTGGTGATTGTTTTGAATTGTTTCAGTATTTTATATCAATTAATACAATTTTTGTTGCTTCTCTGAAATATTTTTACAATTTTTTTATGATACTCATGTTTCACATTCATACCAATGGGTTTGAAAGTAATTGTTTTAGAGCTATTTTGGAGTTGAGAGAATATATCAAGTGCAAGTATCCTTATGTGGACAAAAAATTGTTGCATTATTCCTGCAATTTGCATATTGTTCAAGATATTAGTTGCCTTACAGTACTTTTCTTTAGAAAGAAAAAAGTTTTATTTAATATCCAGTGTTTTAATAATGTAGGTAACTCTTAATCATATGTTTTCAGATCAGTCCCTCTCAAAAACCTATGAGGGAAAAGAAAGTGGAAGAAGTTTCAGTGCTTCGCCTTATCCACTTTACTCACTGCCCAAAGATTGACTTTGATAAAGTAAAGTTTGGAAATGAATCCACAAGAATCCTACGCATCTTGAATCCAAAAGATGTCACCCAGGAAGTACGTTATCATGAATCCAATTGTGAATGATGTTTTCCAAGGCAGCAAATGAAACCTATTGAAGAAGCAATAATAATAAATTATTCCTGCCATATAGGATTAATGTTGAAGTTTTTCATTCTTAAACAATCTATTACTTTCATTTAAAAACAATTTCACTTGAAAATGCTGTGGCATGATAAAACTAACATCCTTTTTTATATATTGACTTAATATATCAAAAAGCCAAACATTACTCTAGTCAATTTTTCATGCGTTTTTTTATTCTCATATATTGTGCACTTTTTGATTATTTTCTTTTCAGTATAATGAAACTTTTTCAGTTTCTATAAAAGACTCTAAACGTATGGGTACTGAGAAAGTAAATACACATATTTTGAAGACAATTCAAGATCTCCTATGAAACATAAAATTGAAAAAATCTGATGTGAGCTTCTTAGCAAGTTGTAGTGGTAAATTTCTTGTCTTTTTTAGTGAAGTTGTAAATACTGCAAGTGAAAAATCAACTGCAAATCTGTCATTCGGTACAGCCATAGCTTTATCTGTATTATATATACTTAATATTGACGCAGAAAGTTTATGCATCTCACAGGTGGTGTGTGAAAAGCTGCCAAGTGAAGAGAGTGGCTTCAGAATTTCACAGACATCAATGGTGCTAGCTCCAACCGAGAGCTGTGACGTGGAGATATGCTGGCATCCCTCAAAGGAAGGCTCTGTTAGGGAAACTCTTCAGTGGCGCTCCAGTGCTGGAGTGCGTGCTCAAACTGTTATTTTTGGCAACTGTTTTCAGCCGGTGGTCAAGAAGAAAAAGGTGGGTCGGCAATTTGGTGTTATTCCATCTAGCCTATAGGTTTGTCTTGTTCCAGCTAGCCTATAGATTTGTGTTGTTATGACTGGGAGATTCGGCAGCTAAATTCAGTTGACTCTAGTATGTATACATTTGGGTGTTGCCCCAAGGGTAAAAATGGCAAATTTGTCACTAAATATTGAAATTTGTACATTTTAGTACTGTTAGCTAAAAAATTTTCCTGGGCGCATAGAGATGTCAAGTGCAAGAATGATATGCCATCTACAGACTTGATGTTAAGATTTTGCTTCCTCTCGTTTTTCTTTATCATGATTGATATTTTAAAATCTCAATTCATGCTGTTTGCTTGACTATCACGACTGGTGTTTGTTTAATTCAAAGTTATTTTTGTAGCTAGTTTTGTAAAATCTATGGTTAATTTTTCATATTAGCTTCATTTTTTGTTGTAGATTGATCAATTATGAATGACTTTTGCTATCTACCTTCAGATTTGTCTCGTTGAATTTATTTTGACGAAGTCGATGCTTTCAGACCCGCCTGGAAACTGGCATGTCCAGAGCAAAGCCTGCAGTCGTGACAGTGAAGGCATCTAAAAACAAGCTAACTGATGTTAATAAAGAAAATACTGCCCCTGGTGTTCGTGTTACAAGACCTTGGGTTAACGTGCAGCCTTCTCAACAAAAAGTACCATTCAAATTGACTGTGCAGCCTCAGTCTTTCAAGTTTTCAGAGAACAGTACTGTTGGAACTCAAGCTATGGTAAGCAGCCGATTTGCTAAATAACTGATAGCTTGTTTGCTTATTTATACCTTGTTATATCAGTAAAGGTTCATGTTTCATATCCCATAAATATATGCCTTTTTGTTTTTTTATTTTTGAATACTGTTTGGTAATTTAAGTGATTCCTTCTTCAGGGGGCATCCAAAAATTCTGCATGCCACAGCAAAACTAAATGTGATCGCCAGTCCAGCCAAGGAATTCAAGACAGTCTCGGATATTTTAACTCCCATGAAAACGTCACTGTTACCAGCAACAGAGAAATGCACGAAGTTGAGGAGAGTCTTGTTGAAAATTCTGAAAGTTTTCATGCCAAAGAGGTTCACTACGCTCGAGATTATGAATCTTTCACTACTGACAACGAACAATGTACATCCAAGAATTTTCTAAGAGTTGGTGAATGTTATAGCCCTAGCCTAAAACCTTCAGACAAGCAAAAAGTGACAAAGAGTGGTATTGGTCAATATCACTTTCACGATGAAAATGAAGATCTTCATGAAGAATCCATTGGTGTTCAACTAAGTGATAAGTCACTTTCTTCATCTTTTTTAAAGAAAGGCGGGGCAAAGAAACATGTAATGTGGAAAGATACGTGCAGTAATACAAGTGAAGTAACAGAAAAATGGCTGAAGGAGACTACTCATTACATTGAGGAGCGTATAGAAACCTGTGTAGTAGTGCACGAAGAAGAAATTGTAACCAAAGAAAGGTTTTATTCCACTGAAGAACAGCCATCCAATGCAGGTGAACATATCTTCAAGAAAATTGTTGCTGGGCGCCTGCCAGAGTGCACCGTTACCTCATCTCCTGCTCGACGCCAGACTTTTGTCAAGAATGAAACTTACAATTATGAGTCTGAATGTGTAGAGAGCTCAGATGATTGCTTGCAAGAATCGCCGGTTTTGCCCGAGTCGAAAACTAAAATTTTCAACCAGGACGAAGATTCTGACGTGTTTCCTCCTGAAGAAACTAATAACTTTCCCACCTTGGCGTCAGATGGCCATGCAAGGCGAGCAACTTTCACTGCTGAAACCTTCACAAGCATTGACGATGGCAAAGACCTTCCACCTTGTAATGTACAGAGCTCTCCTCTCCGAAGAGAGACTTACGTTAAAGATTCGGCAGACTGTTTGAGACGATCAACTTTTACGGCCGGTGCCAAGCTCGTTTCTAATGCGTCTCTCCGTTTACCTGCATTCCTTCCCGAAGATGATGAAAGCTCGCCGTGCTATCTCTCGGCAGAGTCACCCATGCCTAAGATTTCTCCCGCTACTCCGGTTGCTCGTCAAAATTTGACTTCAAGCAGTCTCTCCAACATAGCCGCTTCGTGCATGAGCCTCTTGAATCGACTTGACGTTGATTCCCCCAATTCAACTATTGCTAATGTCTCTCCTTTTGATGTGAAAATCAACAATTTGAATGACGAGGTTGGACTTGATAATAAATCAATTAATTCTTTGCTTAAAAAGTGCAATATTGCAGAAACTGGAGATATAACTGACAGCGACATAGACTGTAGCCTGAGTCTGTCCTTTCTTGGTGTTCATGGTCCACTTGAAGGAAATCATCCGACAACTGGAGTACCGGGCAATGTAGCGCATCCTGCTCTTGAAACGAGTCCTTTGTCCGTGCCTGCTATGCCACAGATTTCGAAATCTCCTTTTCATAGGCCAGGGTCGTGCGAGGATAGCCAAAAACTGAGCTTGGTAGAAAAAACGAAAATGGGAATGTATTCTTCTCGGATTGTTACAGATGATCTCACAGTCACACAAGTGGAAACAAAACCTGGTGTAAATGACGTTCGTGAAACCGGCGAATTTTTGCCGAGTATCAATTCGGAGCCGTCGGAAGCGTTTTCAGATTCACTCGAGAATAGACACGACTCCTATGCTACTGGATTTGAACGTTCATACAGCTGTGATGCGAAACTTTTAGATGATGTCCTTGGGTCTCCAGATGAGCCACTGCAGGAGCTCTCTGATCTAGAAGATCAACTAAGAAGACTCAGTACCGACACAGTGACCAAAGAAACCTCCATCCTCTTGCCGGAAGATATAGTCAACTTGGATCACGAAGCTATAATGAAACAGGAAAACTGTGATCATATTCATGGTGATTTTGACTACAAAGCTACTACTTCCGAACCCGTCATGATCCGACCTTGGAAAGATGAACAAGTTGCAGGTCACGACCAATGTCTTCCAGAACCTATTTTTGAGCAGCCACATGCTGTACCGCACAGTAACTCTGAAATAACTAAACCAAAGCTTGATTTCTGCTCCACTCAAGCTAAATCTGGAGAGCCTGCTGTTAACGATCAGACTTTCATGTGTTCGTCTTTATCAGAATTTAGTTTTCATCCCAGTAACGATCCTCGTCGATGTTCTACCGGCGTTAAAGCTGCTCCGTCTAGCGAAGTTGCTGCTTCCCGCAGCTACAATACAGGCAAGCGGCTTTTTGTTGCAGATGAATTTGAAAATGAAAGCAAACAACCCGTTACCGACGCCAACGAAGCTGAAAACACGTTTGTGACTGCAACAAGCCCTCTTACCACCATTGTTGAAAATGAGAAGATTCTTTCTGTTGGACAATCTGGAACTACTGTGCCCAAAAATTTAACTTTTGACAAATCTCAACCCACTGTGGAAACTCGCATTCACGTGGATGTTGCACAAGAAGATGTCTCGACAGTGGCTGAAGAGAACGTAAACACTCGTGGTTTGCAGTTCATTGAAATATCTCCCCCCAATAAACGGAAGGCGATGTCTCCTGCCTCTAAGCTGCCCAGCTGGAGTAAAGCTAAACGAAGCAGGTATGCATCCTCGATATTGTTATTACGTTAGTTGCTAATGATATGTAAGTGAATTAACAGTGCAACAAATTGAATTTGAATATAAATTCCCGAACCTATTGAAATGCTCCTAAAATTTGTTCCAACATTTGTTATCATGTGAAGATACCAATTAATAAACTACGATTCGCACAATGTCGTATTTTTCTAGAGGTTCTTGACTTTGTTCGCAGATTTGAGCCTAAGCCTGCAGTGCGAGTGACCGTGACGGCGCTTAAACTCAACAGCGAACGCCGACCAATTGCTGGGAAAGTCTCAGTTGTGTCTTCCAAGTGCAAGAGCCCAGCCAACAGCGGCGCAAGGAAAGCTAACCCGCATACTGTAGTTCTGCCCGTTAAAGGTGTGCTTGGGAACTTTGCAATCAGAGACTCGTTGCTTGTGATTTTTCCAAAACTTATTATTTTGTTCATATTCAACTATTTATCCTAATTCGTAACTGTTATGCAATTAAATAAACTGTTCCATCTCACCCTATGTTCATGTTTGGTTTATTTATTTAACGTATGGTTGTGCGTAGACAATCATCTAATTATCTCCTAATATTTACTTCGAAGATTAATGTCGCCTTTTGAACGTGAGGTCAAGTATCCAAATTTGAGATTGTTTTCCTTTCAGCCGGGAACCTGTCCACTAAACCTCCATTGAAGAAATCAGTGTCGGCTTCTAGTGTGATAGTTGACCACATGCTGTCATGTTCAACCATAGCTCCACCGGTGACAAAATCCCAGTCAAAAGAATCAGCACTCAACACCCGACAAAAGAAACCATTGTCTTTGGCACAGTCTAAAGAATGCATTCCTCGATCGCTTTCAAAAGAATCGATGCAACAGTCCAGCTCCGCCGCGTTTTCAAAACCAGTGTCGCAGGTTTCGCGTCAAAACCTTTCTCAGCGTCGTTCTATTGCCGGTTCCATAATAACTAAAAAGCCTGCTACCCACACAGGCCAGCCTCTAAAACGCGGAAGTTCTAACCTAAACCTACGAGCCGGTAACTTTGGCGAGGCGTCGCAAGACGCATTGAGCGTTACTGAGGTTACGGGCCTCAGTTTAAGCACTTCGTCCTCTGGAGAAAGCAATTATACCAGAACCTCCATGCGAGGAGGGCTTAAGAAGGCCGGGTCTTTGATGTCCATCCCCGTTAAAGTGTCAACAAGATCCATGAAGCTTGCTGCTTTGGCTCATCACCCTAATCCATTTGCTGCCGAGTGAGTGTGAAGCAAAGATTCTAACTATCTTACAATTTTACGTGAAATATTTTGGTTCGTCTGTAATTATCCCCTTGTAATGTAGCGTTAGATTATTAAAGTTTCCTCAATTATCACTGGCATATATAATTTTTGTGTTTAATTGATAATCCTAGAAGCAAGGAATTCAAGATGTGATTTAGTGGAATTTTCATTTTGATTTTATACATAAATTTCATCCACAGGAACATGTTTTATGATAATCGTTGGGTGGAGAAACAAACGGCGGGATTCACAAGGTGGCTGAACTTCGTTCTTACGCCTCCAGAAGAAGAAAACACGGCAGCTGCCTCTGACAAAGGTCAGTGCCGATATTATGTATATATAGTGGAGCTTACAAAATTTATTGCCTTTTTGTGTTACAGTTTAAACTTTCGTTCATTTTTTTCTGTTACAGCTTTTCAATAAAAATGAAATCGTTAATTTTCGACACCATGTCTCGTATCTTGCTTCCTAAAACTACATCCTAGTTCTCATTCATAAGAATCGATTCCGTTATTACAAGTAATTTCATGTGAATGATTTTATAAGCCAATTTAAAATTTTATGTGGATCTTTTGAAATTTTTTTTTTATCCCGATCTATTTGAACGGTAGTGGAGATCAAGGGCCTGTGGGCCGCTGCTGTGAAGAGTGGGAACGAGCTTCGCGCTCCTACAAAGGAGGTAGATATCCAATTCAACAACATGTATTCACATGAAAAAAAAATAAGTTGTGTTTATACAATGCGCGACATGAAGCAAAGTTTTTATTTTCATTCTAATTCACTTTATTCCTCATTTTGAAAGACATTTTTTCAAACTGCATCATCGTTTATCTACGATAAAACCACGTTTTTTTCAGGTGCTTTCTCTCAAAGCCTACACAGCAAGAGGCCGACTGAACAGGCTACGCCGTGCGGCATGCCGTCTCTATGAGCAGCCATCCATTTCGCAGGTATTCTCTTGTTTCCAGTAGTGTTAATCCTCTAAATTTGCATTATAAATCAAAATAATTGATAGCCTTTGTTTGACACTTATGATTTCTGAAAAACAGAATTCTTTTTATCTTGCCAGGGCCAAAAATGTACTAATCATATTCATTTTGTTGAATAAATTTTATCTCAACGATGTGATCAGTTAATGGTCTGGTATCTAAAATCTCGTTTTAAAATTAACTTGCAAGAAAACTTCTGTTTTTCTATTTTATGTTAGCTTATTATCAGTTCGTACTAGGCTTAAGTGATCTCATAATAAGAAATGTTCATTTTGTATCTCAGGTTATTGCGAAATTGGAAGTTGCAATTGACAAGAAGCTGATCATCATGCGAAAAGACCGGCAAATACACATGGATGTTGGTACGCTATTATTACATTTTCTCAACTGTTATTAAAAATAAACCCATCTGCAAATTATACTTTCAATTATTGTTTTGTGGTTTGTAGGCATTCCGCATAATCGTAGTCGTATCAGTTGATTGAATATTGACTGAAATACTCGATTTGAAATTATTTTTTCCTTTTTTATTCGTGCGATGTGTGTTTAACGTGCTATATTTTTACGTCGATTTAACTGCTCATTCATTTGGTGGAATATTTGCATAATTCTTGTTGTCTGTATGCAGGCATGAAACAGCAGTTGCTGCAATTACTGCTTTGCTACAACACGCTTTGGCTGCGCTTGGGCCTTGAAACGGTCTTTGGGGAACTGCTTATTTTGCAGTCTAACGCAGATGTTACATCCATCACCAGATATATTATCTTCAGGTACCGTACGTGGCATGGTTTGCCGTGCATTAGTAAAGGTAAAATTTTCTATGGTATTTTTACCAACTCCGAGCTTCACTTTCAAACGCTGATTGAGAATTACTGAACAACCCATAAAAATTTCCCAACCACATTCGCTTTAACTGATGAATTGTCACTTTATGTTGTATGTTTTAAGCCAACGCGAAATAAGAACTTATGGTTATGATAGTGCTACAAATAAGTTACAATGGTTGCTTAAACAAGTTCCAATATAGTTTTTTCCTAGTTTTTTATCAACTTTTTCGGTAATAACTTTTTTCAGACTGTTGAGCAATCCGGACATCCAGCGTCGCTTTGCGCACCCATCAGTGCCTCACAGCTATAAACCAGGCTATGAAGAAGCTGTCCAAATGTTCCTTAATAAGAAATTTTTGGTGCTTGTACTTTTTCTGGACTCTGCTAAAACCAACAAGCTTATTGATCATGATCCCTGCCTCTTCAGAAAAGATGCACCATTCAAGGTGTGTTGATTGCCATAATTATGATCCGAAGTTAAACTATATTGTGATGCCTCTCGTTTTCTAAGTAATTTTTCTGTAATATAGTTATTTATAGCCATGTGCAATGAAATAATTTGTTCTATATTTTCAATAATTTAATTTATGTGCTTCATTTATGCAGTCCAGTCGCGAAATTCTACTGGAATATTCTCGCCACTTCTTGTCTGGAGTTGGAGACCTTACCAAGCACCTCGGGTATCTTGGATACAGCGTGCATCATCAACAGACATCTCTGGACGAGTTTGATTATTCTGTTGATAACCTCGCCACAGACCTGCGGTGTGGCATACGTCTTGTGTGAGTTTTTTCTAAATAGCAATCCCGATTTTGTTTATTCATCTACTGCATTTTTGGATTATATGACGTTTGTTTACCAATTATAAAAAATTTCATGGGCCAAATTTTTTTTTCTCCTTGAATCAGACGTGTGTCGGAAATTCTGACGAACATCACAGTCGGTTCTCTGAGTAGCAAGTTGCGAGTGCCAGCTGTGAGTCGCTTGCAGAAGGTTCACAACATGACCCTGGCACTTAAGCAGCTGCAGGCCACGCAGCAGAACAACTCAGAAGAACTTGTCACGATTTACCCACCAACGGAGATCGTCGCCGGACACAGAGAGAGCACTCTAGGCTTACTCTGGGCCATCATTTCACATGCTCAGGTGTGATCATCAGCAATCCAAAAATTATGGCAAAAATCATGCATATAGTTTTCTCTTCCCAATTTTAAATATTAAGTCTCGCTTAAGTAATAAGTAAATCTAATTTTTGTCTTTTTATAACTTTAAGAATTAGTTTGCCGAATGTCATGTTTTATTTTCTTTAAAGCTCCTGACGATTGTGTCACTTCGACGGCTGCGGGAAGAGGTTCAATACATGCAACGCTCGCTTGCAATCCGTGCTCATATGGACACTGTCGCGGCCACTGGTCGGCAGGAACTCCTCTCTCTCCTGGCTGAGGAGAAGAAGGTCGAGAACAGCTCGTGCATAACCGCTGAGAACAGCCATGGTCCTGATGCCGTTATGTTGCTTCTCAAACGCTGGGTGCAGCTTATCTGCGCGCACTACGGCCTTACGGTGAGCAGTTGTCTTGTGGGTGTCTCCGCCCCTTTACGAATCCCTTTTATTCATATAAAATGACCTGGTCAAATTAGCTGAAAAGTCTACTGCTCTTTCATTTATAGTGCCCTGTCCAATTAGCTGAACTATGAAAAAAATATAACTCAGTACTCACTGCAGTACTCACTCAAGTTTCTCGTCGACGAAAACTTGAGGTCACGGACAGACGGATTGACAGACAGACAGACGGACGGACGGACGGACATGGCGAGCACAGTAGTGCATTTTTTCCATAAATGAGAAAATGCGCTAAAAACTGCCCTGTTCAATTGGCTTAACTATATTGAAATCTGTACATTAATTTCTTCATCTTCCCTTTATACAGTTTTTTTGTGAGTCGTCACCTGTGTGACCACAACTTCTTGCCATGTAATGAAACTTTCAACTTTTTTTCTGCTCCTAGGTTTACAACTTGACCGCCTCATTGAGCGATGGTAGGGCTCTATGCCAAGTTCTGCATCACTACCACCCTGAACTGCTACCCCTTCACCTCATCAACGACAGCACCACGTACACCATGCAACTTCAGAAGGTACCTTTTTCTTTTATCTTTTGTTATCATAAGCTTTCAAATGTTGTTCTTGGATCCGCGAAGTTCTTTGCATTGTTAGATTGTATCGAAACATCTGCAAAATTTTGTTGTATTATTTTCAATAACCTGATTCTTATTTAAGGTCTCGCGCATCATTTACCTCTTAAGAAGAGAACAAGCTAGTTGATTCAATGCTCAACTTTTTTTAGTTCAAATCCTATTTTGTGATGTATGCATATTTATATTATGTGTAAAGTATTTGCATTATCAGTTCACCATCCAGGGTTGAGCTAAGCCTATGAATATAAAACTTACAACTATCACTAATCCTACATGTACTTATTCACACAGGGCGTAGATCTCGACGTGTCAGCAGATGACAGCTTCAGCAGCATGGCCTGTGCTGACGATGTTAGTCAGCACGAGCGCCATCAACGACTTGCCAACGAGAAAGCCAATCACGCCATCTTTGCTGACAAGGTTTTTCAGTCGAATGCTTTCATTATTCTCAGTTTCCAAGCACCGTTGCTTGAATTGTCTGAATGGAATTTTGTTTAATCTCAATTTTGTTGTGTGCGTAGCAAGTTCATTAGCTGAAATGTTTAAAATTTTCTTGTAATATATTGTATATATTAGGAATACTTACTCTTGCGTTTAGTGGAAATATTTCACGATGGCTTTCTGCGACAAATGACGGAATTTTTCATGTCTAGGGAGTGTGTGAAATTAGTTTATTTACGTTCTCCTCCCAACAGCTGTGCTCTCTTGGCGGTGTACCGCTGCTGGTGCGGTCGTGTGAGCTCGTGAACACCATACCCGACGAGAAGGTGATGGTTACTTTCCTAGCGCACTTATGTGGCCGACTTCTGGATCTCAGCGAAGAAATAAAGGCTGCTCGCGTCCTTCAGATGGCTTGGAGAAAGCGTGCCCTTAGAAAACAACAAGAAAGACTTGAGGTGAAGTATGGGCTTTTGGGAAAAAGTGCTTGATCAGAGTTGTTACCCTCATGATGAAATTTCGTTGGACGTATTTTTTGTTAGTGTATAGATATTTTAAGTAAAGGTTGCGAGGTGAAAATAAAGGATCTGTTTTTTCCAAATAACATTATAGCATTTAATATGAACAGGAGGCAGTCAGATTTGCTGCTTGAAATTTATTTATTAACTGAGCGTGAAACATGATTTGCATTGCGAGAAAAATTCTGATTTGACTTGACAGAACCTTGTTTTTGTTAAGCTGCTAGTATTTTCCTGATCCTGATTATTCATAATGTCTACCCTTGTAAATGGATTCGTATACTGATCGTATTTCTCATTTTTCAGTGCATTTTTGCTTCTGATTTTCTGCCAACTGTTTGCGCGTTTTAATTATCGTTAGCAAGAAATCTTCTATATAATTTTCTTACTTTTTTCTGTTCCTAGATTTTTACTTCGGAAGTTAGTTGTTGCTTAGAGTCGCATCTATTGTAAGCGAATCGATATTTTACCTAAAAAGGTGTTTTGTTTTATCTGAATTGCCTTCACCGTAAAGTTTTTCTGCGTCAACCTACATATGAATTTAATTTTTTCCTGTGTTTTCCTATTAAAAAAAATCTTCGGCGTAGTTATCTTAAATTCAGTATTTCTGTACAGCCCCGAAATAAAAATCTTTACACTAATGTTGTTGTCTATATCCTTTGATATTGGGCTGTACAGTAGCCATAGCTTTCATGCAACGTAAATTACTTGTTCTAAAAATTATTTAGTCAAATAAGCGGCCATCGAAATTTTGTTTCAAAATATCTGCTATTGGCAAATTAATTCCGAGATAGTACCACGTACTATCTAAGGCCTTCTTCCTTAGTACTTTTCTCCATACTACACATCGCTTGACTGAGGAATCACTTGGTCTCAAGTAATCTATTATTTTGTGGCCGAGTACCACTTAGCTAATATTTCCTCGTATGAAAATAATATTGCATTTAATGCTCTATCAATTAACGCTTCGTGTAGGTGCCAGGTTTGATTAAACGGTAGGCCGTTAAAAACAGATGGATGACGTGTGACAGTTGTTGCATAACGTTGTATTCTCTTGTGTGAGGCAGTTAAAATTCGTGTTTAGTAAAAACCACTTAATAAAAATCTTTCACGAAACTAAAAGTGTACGCGTACCACCTGAATGGTGCGAAAGTAGTTCTTCTGTAAGGCACTCCACAGTTTAGAGTAGCGAGTTAATGAGTAGTGCTATGAAAATATTACGAATATTCCAATATTATACTTAACTCGCAAGTTCTTAAGGAGTGCTCGATCACTATTCCTATTGTCGACTTTTGCAGGGAGGTTATTCTGCTACCGAAGCGCTAATCGGAAGCAAATGTGTGACAATAAATTGAATCTATATCTTATTTTAAAACTGATTTGATAGGATCCTTTAGACTAACGAAATTCTTCGTTACTAGCTACGAAACTAGCTACGAAAAAATAATTCTTGAAAACATTTGAGTGCAGATGGAAGCCTCGGCGTGTGGCGTGATACAACGATGGTGGCGTCAAGTGGTACGCAAACTACATCATAAGAATTACACTAGAGCTGCTGTGGTGCTACAGAAACACTGGCGTCGCCGACAGGCTCAGAAACTGCTGACACAACTTAGACAGGAGAAGCATCTTCGCGAGCAGGTTAGTGCATCGTAACTACTATAGATAGTAAATAAATACCGGTAACGATTATCGTGCAGCGAGAATCACACCTATGATTTAGTATTCTGCTCCAGTTTGTCTGTTGACAAATTAAACCGTCTAATGGAAGGAGAACCAACACAATGATGAGAGTATTGAGGTACGATTCTAACTTTGAACAATGAACAGTAATATCATATACAGTATTATTATCATGACCTGAAACCTTGGAATTCGACTGCGTTATACCTCAAGTACTTGTATTTAAATTTTTTCTGTATTCAAGGTTTGATGTCAGATATTTCAATATAGCTGCTCACCGATACCAGCTTGAGATGATTAGATCGTGTGTATACATCTTGTATGTATTCTTCCGTTGTTGAGGGTTTCGTAAAATTTATAAATATTGAGCTGATTATTATTTTGCTGTGTTTGATAATTGATCAATACCATTGATAATTACGTTTTGTATCAGGGTTATTAAGAACATCGAAATAAAATTTCTTCAAATTTTTTTAAAGTTGAATCTGGCTTTTTTTAAAAGACGTGATTTACTTGAAGTATTTAGATTTCCCATCTGATCTTTGGTTAATTAAAGTTTATACATTTACTCACCACTGAAGAAAATATGACATTAATTTGATATTTCAGAACTACGCTGCGCTTGTGATCCAATCCTCATGGCGCCGATACGTTGTCTCGCGATACATCGCCAAGTATCAAGCTGCTCGTATTATTCAGAATTATTGGCGGACCTACCGACAAAGACAATCTTACTTGAAGTACAGAGACAGTGCTATTAAAATTCAGGCCCTGTTCAGAACTTACCAGGCTTCAAAGAAATATCGGCTAATTGTCTCCGCTGTTGTGAAATTGCAAAGTTTCTTTCGGATGAAAATTGCAAGGCGTAAATTCATCGCCATTCAGAAGGCTGCCGTCGTCATTCAACGATATTGGAGAAGGGCAGCAAAAGCAAAGGAAGTCAGAGCTCAGTATCTGCAACTGAAAACCGTCGCTATTATTATTCAGTCAGCGGTAAGAGGTTGGCAGCAGAGGAAACGATTCTTGAAATTGAAAAGTGCTGCTGTCACCATTCAAGCACATTTCAGATCACTGAGGCAACATCGTGAATATCTCTCCATAGTGCGCGCAACTGTACAGATACAGCGGCGCTGGAGGAGCTTGCTCGTTACCAGAAACCACAGAAAGACGTTTGTTGAGAAAAAGAAGTCCGTTGTTATTTTGCAATCTGCTTGGCGTTCCCATGTTCTTAGACGTCGTTTCCTTGACTGTCGTGCCGCTGCAACGATCATTTCATCGTGGTATCGTATGTTGTCCGCAAGGCGACGCTACCGTGAAATAATCATGTCAACTATCCGCATTCAGCGATGGCGTAAGCAAATTATTTTAGCACGTAAAAATAGGAGTGACTATTTGTCTCTCAGAAATGCTGCCGTCTGTGTTCAGTCAAATTGTCGGAGATTCTTAGAACGCCGGAAGTACTTGAAAATCAGAGCAGAAGTGGTGAAAATCCAGCGTCGATGGAAGACTTACCTTCTCAGGAAACGCTTCTTGTCGTTGAAATCTGCGGCGGTCATCCTCCAAAACCGTGTTCGTGCTGCCATTTTGATGAAACATCAATTTGCCAAGTATTACCTCATAAAAAAATGCGCCATTATTATACAAAAAGTATTTCGCGGCTATCGAATAAGAAAACTGTTTAAATCGATGGTAAAAAGTGCTACTGTGATTCAAGCCTATTTAAGAGGTTATCTCGCGCGACAACAATTTAAAAAGCTTTCTCACACGGTTCTTGCCTTGCAACGCAAAATCAAAGCTTGGCTGCTTGGAAGAGAAGTCAGACGTCAATACTTGGAACATAAGCGTGCTACAATTTGCTTGCAAAAATTCTGGCGTTGTTACATCCAGCGGAAAAAGTTCAAGCAACTGAAATGTGCTGCTATAACTATGCAAAAGAATTGGCGTATGGTTATACACCGAAGACAGTATCTCATCATTTTGAAAGCTGTCACCAAAATTCAAGAACGCTTCCGAGGTCTCCTCAAAACTCGTATGCTTAGACATCAGTTCCTCGTGCAGAAACAAGTTTGTTTGGTTCTTCAGACAAGCTTCAGGCGATATTATTGCAGAAAGAGATATCTTCTCATGCAAAGCGCTGCCGTTACGTTACAAAAACACTGGAGGGCACGCACTTGTGGCCAGGTGATCCGAAAAAAGTTTTTGGTGGAACGGTCGTCAGTGATAACCCTCCAATCGCATCTAAGACGACACTTAGCACAGCAGAATTACAAAAGAACCCTGCAAGCGGTTACTCTTATTCAATGCCGTTTGCGTGCTACAGTTCAAATGAAAAAATGCAGAATGGAGTATTTGTCTACTCGAAAGGCTGTGATTCTGATACAGTCTATGACGCGAATGCGACTTGCCCGTGAGGTTTACAAGCAGCGTCAGAAAGCTACTGCTGTACTGCAATGCGCAACTAGATCGTGGCTTACTGCCAAAGCTCAAAGATCGAAATTCTTAACGATGAAGCGTTCAGCTATAACTATCCAGAAGCATTTCAGAGGTTATCAGTGCAGACAAAAATTAAAAGCAGAACTTCGTGCAGTTATTGTGATACAAAGTGGCTTCAGGATGTGGCGGCAACGACAAAAATTCGTACAAGTTCGCACCTCTGTCATTTGTATCCAAAATTTTTACAAGTCCTATAAAATGACAGAGCATCAAAGACGTCAATTTCTTCGTGAAAAATCTGCGTGTATTAAATTGCAAAGCAACTGGCGCGCATTTCAATGCCGGCGGAGGTATCAAAACGAGAAGAAGGCCTGCTTTATCATCCAAAGAAGGTTCAGAGCGATGAACGTTGCACGTAGAGTTCGTGCCGACTATTTGCAAAAACGTTCATCTACCATCATAATTCAAGCATGTTGGCGCGCTTACATAGCACGTAAACAATATTGTTTAATGAAACTTTCTGTAATTCGAATTCAGAAATATGTGCGGGCCTATGCCGCAGGTTCCCTTGATCGCAAACGTTTCATTCAATCCAGAGAAGCCGTGCTGACAATCCAAAAGCACTATCGCGGCTATCTGAGCCGTCGCAATCTACAGCTGAAGAAAATTGCTGTTGTTGTGTTACAGAAAAACTGCAGAATGATTTCTGCTAGAAGATCCTTCCTCAAAATTCAAGGTGCTGCAATAATGATACAAAGAGCTTATCGCCGTATTCTTCTTTTACGATCTGAAAGACGGACGTTCTTGCGGCTACGTAAATCTTGTGTTGTTGTTCAAAAGCAGTGGAAGATGATACTCTGTAGAAGGGATTTCAACTTGAAAAAGAATGCTTGTGTTGTTCTGCAAAAGAATGTCCAAATGTGGCGCCAGAAAAAGAACTTCCTACTAAAACGTCGAGCAGCTCTCGTAGTACAAAAGTGGTTCAGAAATATCTTACTCGGCCGGGCTCTACGACAGTATTTCGTACAGAAAAGAAGTGCGGTCATTTGTCTTCAAAGCCAGTGGCGAATGATACTTTGCCGTCGACTTTACCTTCGGCTCAAATTATCTACACAAGTCATCCAAACTTCTTACAGGGCGTTGATGTTGACTCGACAAATTCGCGAGGATTTTTTAAAGAAAAGGATCGCTGCCCTCGTCATCCAGTCTCTCGTGAGGCGTCATTTGACCTTCAGACGTTACCAGAAACTTCGTACATCGGCCATTATTATCCAAAGACATTTCAGAGCTCATGTGAAGATGCTGGAAACGCGGAAACGTTTTCTACTCATCAGGCACTCGGCTATCACTGTTCAATGCTGGTTTAAGATGGTCCAAGCCAATCGAAAGTTTACCATGCTCCGAAATGCATCTATCTGCGTTCAGAAAAGATGGAGAGCTTGCTTACTGCAACGACGTGAAAGGATGACCTTTTTGGTTAAGAAGCGTTCGGCTATTCTCATCCAGGCTCAGGTAAAATATAATTCATTTAATACTGTCTTGACCCACTATTCCTGGCATAAGGAAACTTTTCGTTTGACCTCGATGATTATATTGATTTTCTATGTTTGATTCTTATATCCTGTCCTGAACTAACTGAAACGACTATCTTTAAACTATTGATCTTGGCAATTTCAATGTTGCAGCGAGTATTCTGTTCATTGTTAATAAACGTATGGTTTTGCGCAGGTTCGTGGTCACCAACAACGGCAGCTTTACAGAAATACGGTAGCGGCAGCATGTACAGTTCAAAGGTGGTATCGTGGAGCAAAACAAACGCAAGCCGCCAAGCTTGAGTACGACGCGAAACGGTGCGCCGCCGTCACACTACAAGCTGCCTTCCGTGGATGGAAGGTCAGACGTAACATCAAGAAACTACGGTATGCTGCGTTGACGGTCCAGATGTACTGGAGGAGATGTTGCCTTGCCCGAAAGTGTGTTCTCACTCTACAGGCAGCTGTCCTCATCCAGCGGTGGTACAGAGCTACTCGAAAAGCAAAAAAGTGTCGTCAACTTTACCTCACTCGGAAATCAGCATCAGTTGTAATTCAGTCCTGGTTTAGAGCCGTGCTTGCTAGAAAAAAGTTCTTGAAACTGGTTGAAGCGTCCGTATTCGTTCAAAGCACTTGGCGAATGCGTCAGTGTATGTGCATCTTTAAAGCCAAACGTAGAGCGGCCATTTGCATTCAAAGATACTACAGAAACTATTCATTCTCAAGGCGAGTTCGAAATGAATTCGTGTTGATAAGATCTAGAATCGTACTTCTCCAGGCTCGCTGTCGAACGATTATTGCGAGGCGACGCATGCAACAGCTGACTACTGCTGCAACCATCATCCAAAAACGTTACCGAAAAATACTCGAAGTCCGAAAACATGAACAACTGATCGCTTCACAAGCTCTAGCCAAGGAAGCGGCATTACGCCAGTCATCTGCTTTACTCATCCAACGCACTGTGCGAGGATTCCTACTTCGCCGCTCATATCAACGCACCCTCAAATCAATTGTGATAGTGCAAAGGGCAGTGAAATGTCATTTGGCACGTAGCAAGTTCTTGGCATTTAGAAGTGCGGTTTTGATCATTCAAAAACGGTATAGAATGAATTTGTTGATGAAACAAGACCGACTGAATTATCTTGCTAAGAGAAGAGCTGTAGTATTTCTTCAAGCAGCTTGGAGAGGTGCCTTGGTACGTCGTGTTTATCGAGAAATGAGGCACAAAAGATTTTCGGCTGCTCTGAAAATTCAAGTGAGACCTGACCCCTGCCCAATATTATCGCCGCCAACTTATTGAAAATTTTCCTGTTTGAAGCATGTTAAATTTGGTTGATTTCAGTATCGTTTATTTCTTTCATAAAAGTGATATGCAATATGGTTAAAAAATACCTTTATTCGGTGATAAGATTCAATTTTGTATGGACGTCAGAGTTTAATTACTGGAAATTTTACAGAGATGGTATCGTGCTCAATTACATCGTCAGTGGCTGCTACGCCGCGCTGAAGCAGCGTATATACTACAGCAGCACTGGCGCCGAGCGATCGCTGCCTTGCGTTGTCGAGAGAACTTCATCTACATGCGCAGAGCCGCAGTTATTCTGCAGACTGCCTGGCGAGCTCGAGCGGCCAGGATGCTTGTCCGCAGAGAAAGAGCTGCCAGGACTATTCAGGTATATATAAAGTTTGCACTGTAATATGTTAGCCAGAATAGCGAGGTGTAGAAGTGAATCTTGTCAAGTGAATGGCGAATGCATTGCTGCTTTTATTATTTTATGCTGCTTTTATTATTTTATGCTGCTTTTATTATTTTCTGATGCTTTTATTATTTTATGCTGCTTTTATTATTTTATGCTGCGTTTAATATTTTATGCTGCTTATATTATTTGTTGTCATCTCTGAAGAAAGATCGTTGAATAGGTACCCCCCGAATCACTTGCTCAAAATGAACCACATCATTGCATTTGAAGTTTAAACGTCGTTTTCTCAGTTTGCTCTTATAATTAACAACTCCTTTTCACGAATAATTCATATCTTACTCCATAGAACAAATATCCTGATATTTGGATTGGAGCTACTAATCAGGTTGGTTTTAAAAACAGTTACCATAATAACTGCTTGATATCGTTTGTGTATATTGCATCCAGCGGTACTATCGCGGATTTAGTGCCCGGCGTCGGTGTCTTCAAGAGCAAGAGGAGGTTAACCGTCAAAATCTAGTAGCCTCTGCTATACAGCAATGTCGACGAAAATCTGCTGCTCGGAGAATACAGGTCTGTTATCCACTACAAAATTATCATCATCTCTGACATGATGAATTTTAGAGATCCAAATTTTCTACTTCCTCCGCCGCTTTTATTTTGTGTCTTGTATTTTCAAGTGGGAATGATTAACTTTATCTATACTGCTAGTTTTTTATTTTAATGTTTATCTTGCACAAAATTTTATTTACGTCCATACTCCGTGTTTAGCCTCAATTATTCCTTGCGCAGCGTTGGTGGCGGCTTCGGAGTGCTCTAAAATGCGGCCTAGCGAATCTCCCGAAAGTTCAGCTGCTGCAACGGTGGTGGCGACGAATCCTGATTGCCCGGCGATCTCACGTCTGTATCTTATCAGATTAGCTCAAATTCATGCATGAACTTCGGTTTGAAGAATGATTTAAAAATTTGCATTGATAATCCACGTTAAATCAATACATTTCTGTCTTAAAGTAATCGGTAAAATACTTAATGGTTACGTGTAATTTGTACATGTTTCATCTCCAATGTTTTTCATCCCGTATTGATGATCAATTTAAGAAAAATTGCAGTGCTTCAATTTTTCAGATGCTTATCATCAATTTGTTTTATTTAATTTCGAAATTTATCACTTTTGATATTAATTTGTGGCTTAAGTGGAACTTGGTTGCAACTTTTTATGCATGATCGCCAACTCAATTCAAACGAAGAGCAATTCCTTACCTATAATGGACGTGGTATTCCCTCTTTAAAATAAAAGTATGAGCCATATAATATATCTTCAAGTTTTGTCCCACCAAACCTCAAACTATCTGATTACTTTGTATTTGACTTTCGTACTGTTTTCTTTTTCATACTCTTTTCTATCCTATTGAATAATTTATCAATATTTCTCTCAGATTCGACGCACTTGCGCAGCTGTGGTGATCCAAGCTCACTGGCGCGGCTACCTTGTTCGTCACATCCCATTGGGCACAAAGCCTTCATTTCTGAAGTTAGAAGCTCCTCAGCAAAGACGTCTGACTGTAGTGCGCAAGCGCCTTGACGACGCGAACTCCCGTGCACAAAACCAGAAATGCATTGGTCATAAAACGAAATGTGCCATCACGTACCTGTTTAAATACCGGGACCTAAAAATGATTCTGCAAGCTGTTATATCTCTCGGTATGATTATTAGTAAGGCTAATATGCCAACTTTTTATTTCGCCTTTCAGATACACTAGGACAAGATTTTTCTATTTGTATTTTAACACTATTTCTTCAGCAATCTTCATGCGACCAAAGTATTTATTTCTAGTTGCTCTATGCGGGCAAATTCATTTATATAAAATGCAATCTTCCGGCTTGGTACAATTTCTATACATTTTCACGTTCGAATTATTTCAATTTGTCCTTATGATGCCACAACGCTAAGCAAATTCCATGATTAATTCCATCACCTTTTGAATTTTCAGAGGCCAGTACGCGTTGGTCTTCTGTGTGCTGCTGCAGTGTTGTATCTGAAGGTTCCTTGCCGCACCTCCTGAGATTGGTGAACGAATGTAACCGGTCCTTGCCTTATATGCAGATCCTCACATATGTCCTCAATATCTTCCTCAACCTCATCAAGTGTGACCAGACTTTTGACAGCGTTGCCAAGGTATTGTTTCGGGCTTTTTCTGTTTGGGCATTGATATTTCTGTTAATCTGTATATCCTGATATTTTGTATCGGCAATTAACAGTCGTATTAAATATTCATTTTTGTATTAGTTCCGCTGTTTTTAATGTTAATCTTTTTTTCCTAATGAAATTTACTTGGATTGTAAACGCCAAGATCACCTTGCTTGTCGACGACTTGAATGGTACAAGGTAACGCCAGTATCAATAAACTATAAATGCTCTTTTTTCCATGTGCGTTTTCAATTAATTCAGTTCTAGATTATTTTCTACTTTCTAACTTTATTGCAATTTAAATAGAAGTAATTGAGACGTACTAAAATTAAAGTCACTAACTTATGCTGTCTCTAACAGGTACCGGGTATAATAGAAGTACTGGTGCATCTCATGTCCATCTATCACGAAAAAAATCTACTTCTCTTCACTAAAAGCTGCACTGCCCTATACCTCCTTTCCCTGTGCAGTCAATTTAAGGTAATTATTATACATGTATTTGATCTTTTAGCCTCGTTATGTTATAAGAGGTGTTCACTAAGATCTGCAAAATAGAGAAATTCCAAATTTAGAGTTCTTTCTTTTTGTATGCTGACCAATCTCGAATAATCATTCGTATTCGAAGCAGCAAAGGTAACTCATTAGTTTTCTTTGATTTTCAGATGGCAGTTAGCGAAGCTGTCAAAAATGATGCTGTTAAAATCTATTCCATCATGTTGAGGAAAGTCCATGCCCGTGAACGTGGCCGAAAATTCACCAAGCCAAATGTGCTTGGACCTCATCAATGCCCGGCGCTTGTTCCTTACTATGCTCTCTCCAGCAGTGCATCGTACGAGTTCGAAGATCCTTTATCCGCCGCTCTCACTTTACTCACTCTCTGGAATGCGAAGATTTAGTCTTCCGTTCGTAATTTGTTGTTTTTCCCACCATTCAACAATTTTATTTTGATCAGTAGGAAAGAGCGTATCACTGGATTAAACTGCCATTTATTAATGAGCCCATACGAAATAAAAAGGCTTCAAGTTTTTAACCATCTTAATAGGGCACTTTTTAAGCCTCTGCATTTTCTATAATGTCTAACTTTTTTTTAGTTCAATAAAGTTAAGTAAATGATTTACAATAAATCGTACGATTGACTCGGAAGTTCCTGTAAATAGATTCAAAAGGACGATGACGTGCGGTTCAAATACTTAGTTCTTCCAGGATGAACCAACGTCTTTTCTATTTGTTTGTTTCTCAGTTTATAGTTTGTCTGCTTTTTAGCTTTTAGTTTCAAACTTTAGGTTAGTTATTTTTCCCGAGATAATATTGAGTTTTTTATAATAACTTTTTCATTTGCCATCCTTAGTTGTCATTTTTTTCATTTCATCAAATACATTTGTTTGAATAAATGAAATTCTGTTTTGAGATAGTTGAACTACTGAATCTGTGTTACCAAAGTACTTCTAGTAAAGAATCACGGTAAGTTGTACGTACAGCAAATAAAAGCCTTTTGATTTTTGCATCTGGTGTTACCCGCAGCCTCACCGACGTCTATGATTTGAGTGAATTAATTGAAAGTTATTGGTTGAATTAAGTTAGTATGTTATTATTATGAGAGACTCGATAAGCTTCTCACTTGAATTTATAGCATAACAAGCATGAAGTCTCGCATGTGCAAGAAAAGTAACTATGTTGCTAATTTATGTTTATTGGCATGTAGGTTATGCGAGTTTTCTTAATATCAGCAGATAAAATCCGATGCGAAACTCCGCCATTCACTTCACATCCCATTTAAATTACATTGGGAAGCATAATTTTTGGAGCATTGTCGCTCATCGTTTTGCCTTCCGGACGGAATGCAGTAATTGTATCAGTTTCTTGGTATGCTGTGACGACAAAATGTATTTTTATGACATCAGGAAACCGTATAGCTGGATGCATTAGGATAATCACAAGATGTTAGTTAAAGTAATACTTATTAACTTTGACGGAAATCTATCCTAAGACTACGGTATAATAGAACCTCGCAGTCACACTAATGCAAGCGGTTATGGTTTTTTTGTCGTTATTGAGATCATAACTGTAACGTCTTTTGCACGTTATCGATACTTGCAAGAGTGTTCAAAAAAAAAATAATTTTCTTTGCAGCAAATTGTAACGGCCATCACCAAATAATGTTTCAATTAGTGAAACAAGTTATGCAGGGTTGGTTGCAGCATTTTCCGTTCTAAATTTTACAAGCTCTCACCTCATCAGATGCGTCAACCACAACTCTAGTTGATAATGATCAAGCCGGTAAAGTGCCTAAATCAGTGTTCATTAAGGAATTCATCTAATGCAAAGATTGAACGAGTTGTAAAGCTTCGTAATAAAATGCATATAACATCTAGGTTTTTTGCATTAGGTGTCCGCAGTCCTTTTTTTTATTCAGTGATAAATTTAAGCTCTAAACATAGGTCCGATCGTTTGACGTAATTTAAAACGATGTGCTCGAAATTCTATGACCCACTGACGATGGAACATAAATTTTTCGATACATTATACAAAAATCCAACTAGTTGCTTGTCAATGCAATTACGTGAATGGATTATACACAAATTTGATGCAACTTTCACCATGAAGTAAATTTCAATGCAGTATGACTTGGTCTGGGGCTGATTATCAGCAAGCCTGCGTAAATCCGTTTAGAATGAAAATCAAATTTAATATCATTTTGAATGCTACAGACCAAAAATGGTTAGTTTGCTAAACTGAGGTCATTCTGATAAATGGAGTTTGTTGAATAATCAGTATTTATTTTGCAAAGCTAGCAATTGAAAAGTTTTTCTAGGAAGATTGCCACAAAATATGATTGGGAATGGTTGTACTGAATTTTAGAGCTTTTTATTCTCTCCAATGAAAGCTATTACGAGTTTATCGCAGTATCAGTAAAATAAATTCTACACCAAAAAATCGGTTATTATGCAAGATGTGTGAATTGATAACTGCCATCAATAAATCAAGAATTTTTAGCACACGTAACGAATAATTTCCGTAACAAAACAAGAGACCTTGGATAAAATGCTCACCCTCAAGTGCCAACCTGCGACACCTGGTACTCTGAGTCGCATAAAAAATACTTTCCGCCCTTTTTCTTCTGTTTCCGCACCACAGTTCAGCCAGCATAGAACATCACCTAACAACCGCAGATCGAGCTTTTCATTCCCTGTTAGCACGCAAGAAATACCCTAGCCGCCGATTGCCTTCCCCTTCTCTAGTCGCATCACTCACATGCCGTGTGAAAACTAACGCCCCGCAAGAGCAATACTGTTATGAGTAGTTCGTTCGTTTGCGCAAACCACTCGAATTGAATGTTTAGTGGCGACCTTGCTATAGATTAACATGTGGAAAAAATGTAATTAATGCGCAATTCAAGGAAATCAAGTTTTTACAGAGGAACTTCATTAAAAATGCGAACAAAAGAAATTTACCCAAAGGGTTTTTTAGTACTGCTCGGTAATTGTTCGAAGCAATCTTGGTTTTTCAAAATCCGTTCATTCACTTCCATAATTATCAATCCATTGAAAATTTATGAACTGACTACTGTCCACATAGTTTGTTTCTCATGTTAGTTACGGAGGTTTAATAGAAGAAATTAGATTCGTTGAATCCGAGTAGTACACTGCTAACCTAAGAATACTTTGAATGATGCAGGCCTCGTAAATTTGGCGCCCAAATCACACACCGAGGCGGAACAGTGATGACTCAACGCGGCAGCTGAAAGAAACGGTAAACGCACCGAGGCTGGACCGTCAACGATTACTTACCAAAGCTTCGTTATTCAGACGCAGCAGCTGCCTCCGTATCGAACCGTTCCTTTACTCTCAAGCGCAGCCTCGCAGCTCGGTAATTCATGGCCAGTTCAAAGTTTTCTCCATTATACTCAAAGATCTGTATGATTATAGATTATACTCACGAATAAGCGTAAATTTGATTTTATCTTTCAGGTGAATTGATTGCGAAGCGTAGCCTGACTAATTATTAGTTATCAAAAAAGTATAAACAATTTAAGATATATTCAGAACATGTTCGGTTATTTTCCAATTCACTACTCGATATTTTGGTATAATAATACGAAATCGCAAGCGAAAAGTACTAATATAGAGTGAACTTTTTGTCACTTTGTTGAAATTATTCCACCAAAAACAGAAGACACCTTTTCAATTTAACACGAAATCCTCAACACGAACGTACATCTGCAGCGAAATCATTAAAATAGCTCAGTAAACCCTCCCGCGATGCACACGTTATAATGAAGTGGTCTCAGTTGCCTCCACGGACGCAGAAAACTAGCGTCATACTCGAGCGGTTTCTAATAAATGATTTATTGAGCGACTTGATCAACGTTGAAATATTAGTAAAAATATTTCCACCACTTGCACATCAGCATTCAAATCTAGAAGGAGAACCACCATTTTCGGCTCTCCCAACAGAACGAGATTTTTCACACTATAGTTGGATTTGACGTTTTCACAGGTGAAGTCATTACTTCTGTTCCAATGCTAAGAGAACATTTAAGGTAAAGCGTTACGTAGCTACGACTCAATCATAGGGCTGATAAATTCAAATTAGAACAATGCCATAAATAACTCAAATGTTAAATTAATAAGCAAATGGATATGGCGACTTTTATGAGCAAGGTTAAAATCGCATCTTCGCACGCACGGGAAGAATCCACAACCAAATGTAAGGATAGGAATTTCTACCTGCTTTTCAATTCCGCTTCGAGCTGGACACCGCCCTCCCATCCAAGAGCTCGATCAGTATCCACACTTAGCACACTACCACCTCCTCCTCTTGAGCGCTCCTCCCTCACCTCTTCATACAAGCCAGAGGTAGCCCTCGTTCATGCGAAACAAATTTTAACCTAATGAAGTCAATCAATTCATTTACGTGATAGAACACGACTTCTAGATAATAATCCAAATGTATATAAGCGCGTCACGCGAATTTGAGAAATATTAGCTTCAAATTTATGTTATAAAATGCTTCAAAGTACTGCATGAAAAATGAAAAACTTCGTAACAAAGCTTGAACTGCCACCACCATAGAACTTCATTTAACAATACTCTAGACAGAATCTAGATGTTAAATTATTTTGTATACAAAATCAGGAGCATACTGTAAATCCAGAGGCAAATTTCAATGCGTTTTCCTGGCCAAAATAACATGTAAAAAATTAACTCGTTAATTTTTAAAAAAACTCGTTATTAACCCTCTACCGCTTGACCCGAGTAACCGGAGCAATATTGTCAGTCACAAGCCTCCTTCCCAAAAAGGATACGTTCTAGTGAGCGCAAAATGACTTGCACTGATGGTTGCCGCCACGTACAACTTTAAAATGTTCTCTGTTGCGTACAAACGTCCTCAGGTTGCTACACTCAATAGTTTCCGTATAATTTAAGTTGAAAGTTATGTTCCCAGAGAATGACATACGGTGGTAGAGGGTAAATACTTCTTCAAGAATGAAACGTATACGAAGTAGACGTTAAAAATTGCTCTGTATGACAGCATTGCTCAACTCCTAAAATATGGGTGTTTAGAACAAAGAGGATGTTTAATAAAATGCAATTGAAAAATGATTACCGTTTACTCAAAATATACTTATAGTATTATAAATGAAAGTAAGAGGAATCCATTCAAAAATTCTTGAGGGATCAAGATTTTCTAGCGGAGATGACCAACACATGTAGAAACTAAAGAGAATACAATACAGAAAATTTTACGTCAGTAACCAGGTCCATCAATGAAGTAGCAGATAAGGAAGCCAATAATGAAGTCAGGCTCAAAATAACATAATTTAGACATTTTTTGTAGAAATATGGGACCAAATTAGTACAGAAAAGCAAGCTTTCCATAATGGCCTATACACATGAAAATGATTAAACTGTCTGAGGGTTAACTTATACCTAGACAGAAGTCAGATATTACTTCTAGATACTTGTGAACACAAGACTAATGATTATTAACAGCATCTCGAGTGTGTTGGCTACACGCACTTCCTAAAAATTATTTATTTATGTCATGCTAGAGCTTACACAAGGTGCCAAATTGCCAAATTTGGAGTACAAATCCTACTGAAATAATCATAATGAGCGTGTCTTCATTTATCAGAAATTGAACAATTTTGAGTCTATTTACTTGTCATAAAAACACAACAGCAATGAATACAATGAATGAATTTCACAAGGCGCAATACTATTGTAGTACCAAAGAAACTGGACAATAAATTTATCCTACAGGTAGTTTAACCAAGGCCAAAAAGTAAAAAAGAAAATTATGTTTTGGTAAGCTTCAAGACACAAAATTTTTCTCCTTGCATAATATTAACATCAGTGAACTCCTAAATAAGTCACAGACTTTGCTAAGATTTTCATTTACTAATTTTTACTTTAATATCTCAGCAGAATCAAACAGTGAAATTCATCTAGGTACCTACTATGATTAACATGAATGCATGAGGTAGGCCTAGGACCTATCAAGTGGTGCAAAAAAATTTTCTTGTGCACATGGAAAAAGTAATATCAGGCTGGGTCTTACCATTTTACAAACAAAAGCAGTAAGAAATTTTCTGTCATAGTAAATCAAAAAATAATCAAGAAGAAATCTACCAAATCACATTGCAAGGATACCAAGTAAGTTATTCCAATGAAAGTGAAATTTGAACAAGATTTATGGAAACACAGGCTCTTAAGCCTAATAAAAAGTAAAAACTACACAGCCTAACAATTCTGCCTACAGTCATACACACTCGTATAAATATACAGAACATCAGCTTCAAAAGCCCACTTTCAATCTATTACCAAATTCCTTTCAAGCTTAGCTAACAAAGTAAGTATCCAAGCTAGTAGTCAAGCCACTAAAATCTAGAACATAATAGCTTATCCTTGAGAGAGTGGTCCTGAAGCAAGTATTTTTAACACTTGCAAAACCTCACTTCACAACATACTTAGCAATTTATATTTCACATAAATGGATGAAGAATTTGTACAAATCACAATTAGTGATTTCACTCATCACCTTCTTCATCATCGTCATCTTCATCGAAATCTTCGCCCTCATCGTCGAAAGCTCCAGCTTCGGGGTGGCCGTTGCTGGACTTCATTTTCTTCATTGGCGGCATGTCGCCTGATCGGTAAACCTTCATGTCCCGGCCGTAGCGCGCTCTGTCTTCCTCAGCAGCCTTCTCGTAAGGCGCCTTCTGGGCCTCCGTCAGCTCATTCCACTGTCGTCCAAGCTCTTTTGCAACTTCTCCAACTGAAAAATCTGGATTTGAGGCCCGAACCTTAGCGCGCTCGTCTTTAGCGTAATAGAAGAATGCTGACAACGCACGTTTGGGCTTGTTCGGATCCCTTTCCTTCTTAGCTCCGCGACGGCGCCTTCTGCCTCTTGGTGTGCCAGGTGGTGGTACGTAATCCTTCATCTGTTCAGCGAATCTTCCCTTGTCTTCCACGGACATCTCGTGGAATTTTTCTTTCTCTTTATCGGACATCGTCTTCCATCTCTGGGAGCACTGAGCAGCAAATTCGCCGAATTGTACGTTTTCATCCGGATGCAATTTTTTGTGTTCTTCTCTGCACGTTTTAACAAAACACGCGTACGCACTCATGGCGCCTTTAATCTTAGTGGCGCCTGCTCCACCTCTTGGTCTTCCACGAGGCATGTTGGCTGTATTATTCAGTAAAAGCGAAGTTTAAAAGGCTCACGTATCACTGGCTGACAAGACTACACACCTTCACTGAACCAGACGCGTAGACGCTCTGAGTCCGTTGATGCGCGCTTGCTGTTCGGCTACCCCGATATAAAGCACCGGCCTCACAAACCTCACTTGGCGCCAGTTGGCAAGCGCCTTCTTTACCAGTAATCGCTATAACGGGGTTCACTCTCGGAGCTCAAGTAAAAGCGGGAAAATGCTGTCTTCTTATTGGCCGAAAAGCATTCTCGCTTCGACTCTGCAGAAGAATAAAGCCCTTTATTTATTCTCATAGGGAGTTGAGTTATTGGATATAGTAATACTTAATGTTCCATAATTATTTTAAAATTAATTTATTAATTTTTAGTATTAGGTGTGATGATATAGAGGAGTGTTAGAACTTCATCATGAGAGTAAAGTGAGACTTGAAAGTCTGATTATAATATTGGACTGGACTAGCCTCGTCTATACTGAAGTAAGGCTAAGAGATAAAGGAAATTACTAAGATATTGAGCGAGTTCATAGGCATTAGATACATACATTAAACTAAAACTTTTTAATTGTGAAATATTTAGTCGACTTAAGAAGGTTGCGCTTATAAAAGACAGTAATGAAACTTTTATGAATTATTTTAAGTTCTTGTTGCATATTAAAGAATGTGAACTCGACAATTTCACAAATAAAATAACTCAGGGCCGCCATTTCAGTCGTTTCTGAAGCTTGATGGAATTTCAAGGAAGAACATGAAACCAAATAACCGAAGTCAAATGAACATAATGAGAATTTTTTTAATGCAATCTTAGTTATTGAGTACAAATTATTTGATGCGAGAATTTGTGGAACTGAGGCTCAACCTTAGCTTGATCCCAACGAAAATCGAGAACAAAAGTTCTTACTAGGTCATTACCGTTACTGCTGTAGATGAATTTAAATTTGTTCGTGACCAATCCGACGTCTTCAATTGGCCAGAAGAGAAATATTTCAAGATTGTTCTATTTAAAAAAATTAAAAGCATTTTTATGAGCAAATTTACGATTACTTGAATGAATTCTAACCAGGAAAGCTTGCATAGTAAGCAGACATCACAATTCAGTCAAATCAGGGTTGAACTAAATGTCGACGCTGTTCTGTACTCCCTTTTCATGATCAAAAAGAAGCATTGGCTGCTAAGTTAATTGCAAATCTGGAATGTAAACTTGCTATAAAAAAACTGATGAAAGAATTCATATAAAAATATTTAATCTTGCCAGTGTACTAACACTTCAAATTTAACTTATGTCACTCATTTGAAGAATTCGCAATCAATCTCACAAAATACTTAAGCGGGCACAAAATGAATCATATTGAATCATTCCAGCTACAAAAGAGATGTACAGGCAGTTTTTAATTAAGCATCTAAGGATTTTTAAGCCTAACCAACAGAGCTTGTTTGAGTGATGATGCTTCCTGATCCTGAGTCGAGTATTCTTCATTTACAAGTATACGTCCAAAATTAAAAGGGAACAAATAATTGGAGAGAGGGAAGGTTTGAATCCGTTACATAACTTGATAGCCTATGTGGAATTCAAATAAATTCTGCCTTAATGCAAATAAATAAGTACCGAATCTTTATGGATTAGCAATAAATACGATTCGACCAAAGTGAGATTGTTTTTTGCCTTATAAATTTCATAGCCTATCTGGGCAACGAAGCCGGCTGCAATGTTAAGACTTTGAAACCACGCAAAACTAATCGCAAAATAGCTATAAATGTGGAAACCGAGACCCGGCAATGTCAGTGCGCTTCCCAAGCGTTCACCGGAAAGTTTCAGCTATTTTCAAGGAAATAAAAAATTAACAAAACTGAGGGTTTGATGCTCTCACCTTCTCGCTTTCACCCAAATAAATTTAATTAAAGATATAGGGCACATTAGAGATCTTAATTTAACGAGCTTACCTCCAAGTTAAACGAGTTTGGTAAAAACCAAACCCCGAATATCGGCAGTCCTATGAAAATTGATCAGTTGTCTCGTTACGGTGTCGGTAGCCCAATCGTCGCACTATACAACTCGTACCCACAAATTTCTTAATGTTCACTTCAAGGAAACTTGACGATTCTAGGATATTAGCAATGTAGAGTGCGAACGTATTCTGAAGTTTAAAAATCTACATTTGTTATTGCTCTCAAGAATTTAAGACAACGTGACACTATGACAAGAGAATCGTTATTTGATAGGTAGTTGAAAATTTAAAGAGCCGAAATTTGATCGGTGTGAAGTAGATATGGGTTGGATTTTGCGGATACAATCTATCAAAAATTAACACTCTATAGTTAAATAATAAACAAAGAAAGCTAGGAAGCAAGATAGAAAGGATCTTTACACTGAATCGGAATTGCAATATGGCTGCAAACACCGATGACAGTTCCTATTTAACTTAAATTCGTAGTCAAGCACTGTCGAGTTTAGAAGTTAGCTAGGAAACACAGATTTCCCTAAATAGTAAAATTTTAATTTCTATATCATCTGCAATTTCAACAGAACTACTATCACTTGAATATTTATTTACGGCGTTGCAGATATCATTCTTGAAAGGAACCTTGTTGCATATTCTTCGCCATGAAATGGTTCTCACAGAAAAAAAGTTGCTGCGTAATGTTCTACAGTTCAAGACGTTCACGATTCAGACAGGTTTCCATAAATGTCAGTTCGTTGACACATGCTAGATTTATACATTCATTTAATTTTAGTTACACACTATTCCTAACAAAACGGACTCATTTTGAATGACAGTTGCGATGAAATATTATAATTATTCATTCAAGTCATTAATAGCATAACTATCCAATGCTGTACCGTCATTGCCCGCAGATTAAAAAAATTAGGGTTCTTCTCTACGACGAGGAATAATAACTTGTACATCAGACTTCGATACATAGCATAGCAATGAATAATAATTATCATCGGGTGTAATCTGACGAACAAAAAGAAATTCCTCTTTTACCCAGAGTATATAATTCACCACGCGCTACGCTCAAACTGTCTATAAAATTTTGAACCAAGTCCGATTACATTATCAAGAGTCGCGCTAAATTCGTTCTCTTATACTCCAGGACCTAATGTAGATAAATGAATGCTTCCCATTAGACAAAGTAATTGCACACTCTCAAAGCAAGCCTCATATATGCATCGTGCAAATTATAGAAATAAGGAGAACATTATGAGGAGCGAAAATGCATTTTTAATTCTAATCATGGTAGCTTACATAAGAAAGGCAATTACCCTACAAGAGAGATTGAATTGAACCTCGCTACCCATCACTACAACCGAGCTGACACCATGTATCTATAAATCCATTAAAACAACTTGGTTAGCTAGTCAACAATCCTCAAAAAGTTGTTGCAGTTCATCAAAGGATAATCAAACGACATTAGTACTTTAGAGATTTCGGAATATCTTTTATAACTGAAAGCTTACAAATTTCGAATATATGTAAAAATTGAATTTTTTCGACAGTGTTTTCCAACATTACACAATGAGGTATTGCGTAGGTATTTCTTATAAAAAAATTTACACGTTTTTGGCATAAAATCGAGAATATTAGTGAAACTCATTCATTCAAATAATTAAATTACTTAAATTAAGGCTTCAAAAGGCGAAAACTAAATCTGGCGTTGGAATTTCACAATAAATATTAACGCGTGAAGTAAAATAACCTACAACATTACAAATGCATAATTGGTGACCGATAAGTGCATATAGCAACAAGAATAAACAAAAAAAAAAAAACAAGATAAATGACCACACATGTAAAAAACAACGACAAAACAAATCATTTTAAGGAATTTATTACACATAAAGTTTGCCTTGTATTTACAAAACTAGAAGTCCAACATTTGACCCCACATCAAAACCATTTGGCTAACAAGTGCGACCATGGTAAGCTCACCATAAAAGTGCGAAATAATCCAAGAGAATAAAACAGTTGTTTCTAATCTATATGTGTAAGCACAGGGGCTCTGCAAGTGGTAAGCGAACAATTGCTGAGTTGGGAATGATTATTAGGTATTATTCCCTCCCAGAAATACTCACTGCCTACAAAAAGATAATCTTGCTACTTACAGCTGTTGTCATTAACCTTGTCCAAGTGGTCCAATGTTAAATTCAAATACTTCACTGACTTAGTACGCTCATTATTAACACATTGAGAGCTAAAATGCTACTAATAATTGACTCTAGCATCTAATATGGCGCAGAATGGTAGGCTGTGGTACCTGGCAGTACATACACTTTTCTTGAAATGGTATTTTATCACCAAAAGGCTCGGAGCAGCCTTAGTCGTAGAAAGAACACATATAACCCCATAGTAACTAACCGCTCGCAAAAATTTGTCAGAAAAAAACTTGACACCTCAGGCGGAACGCAGCAAACCAGAAAATTAATTCTTTTTCTCATTTAAAAGCTAAGCCTGCATTGAAACTTATTGAGAATGAACAAATTCAGAGATCGACACGCACTCAACAATCGCTGTGAAGCGATCAAACAACATATTAGTTGGGCTACGACATCAGCTTCACTTTTGATGTCATCCAATTGAACATAGTTTTCAGATATGTCAATTGGATGACTATGATCACATATATCTGAAGGAAAGCTAAATTGAGATTATTCCTGAAATACTGAATTAGCTAACAAGAACACTTTGAACAACTTGATATCAGAACGCAAGACTAGGAGGCATGAGAATAAAACATAAAATTTTGAGAGGTGTTGCTTCTAAAATAATAAATCTCTAGCACTAGAAGTCTATGTGACCGTTCAATAGGTCGATCTACGCAGATCACCGCTACCCTTAAAAATATTGAGTTGAATTAACTATACCTGGAATTGGAGAAAATGACACAAAGAAACAAAATACATTCATAATCTGAACAGTAGAGAAAAGACTGTTTCTAAATGAATAATGTGGCTAAATTTGAGATTTTGAAGCACAGTTGAAAATTTTCAATCAGCCGTGGATCTTCTGGAGAACTTCTTGAGACGCTGGTTGTACATGTGGTTCATCATCTTATACATTGCTGCAAAGTAAAATCATATTTATTCGACTAACAACACAAATTGTTTGCAATCCTAGCAATAACTAAGCAAATAAGAGGTGGAAGATAGACTATTAAGAGTTTGTATATCTTGGTTATGTCCATTGATAGATCCTGTCATCTCCCTAGTGAAATCAACGATCAGTCTAAACAAAATATTCATTTTGGTTCAAATGTGACTGACTCTAGTCGGGCAATCATGTAGGTCTTGACAAATGACATGGAAAAATACATTTTTTAGTGAATAATCAACAAGAATATAACCTATCGGCGAAGCCACCGTCTCAGAATAATAAGAAACAATATCATTGTTAGTAAAAATAAAAATATATATCACACTATCATGGTTATTCCAAATAACAGAAGGATAAATAAGGAGCAAAGGTTGAATTGGCGCGAATAAACCTAAGTTCCTCGTCATTATTCTGTGTAGGAATATAATTGCAGAGAATGAAAACATGATTATTCTGTATAAGAATATAATTGCAGAGAATGAAAACATGATTATTTTGTATAGGAATATAATTGCAGAGAATGAAAACATGATTATTTTGTATAGGATTATAATTGCAGAGAATGAGAACATGATTATTTTGCACAGGAAAAAAATTGCACAGAATGAGAGCGGCTACTTACCAGGCAGGAAGAAAAAGAGGAGGTAAATTCGTAACAGCGATGGGAAATGGAAGGCAAAGTTCCACGAATTCGGCAAGGCTACGGAGAAGCGCTCGGTCTCTTCCACATATGGGATGCTCCTACAAATAAAATTGTTGTTCATTATGAAATGATGGTATGGTAAATACTAGAACTAAATAAGTCACACACGTTTCAACTAAATGTTTATATATACGATGTATCTGTGAACTAAACAATATGACGTAAGGAAGATGCATGACAGCAGCTTTGAAGCGTCCAACCTATTAGGAATGACAAATTGCAAATGCTTTATTATCATTAACGCTTTTAGTAGTAGAACTTTATAGAATCTTTTATCATATTTTTTCACATAAAGCTTACAGGTGAACAAAAATTCTTATGCGTGGCACCGACTGATCGAGGTCATTCATCACCACGTTTACACTACAGTTTCAACACGGGTGGTTGATGACCAGAGAATTAATTGATTTAAACTTTCAAGATAGAACAATATTGTTCGATCTTGAAAATTTAACTCAATGAATTCTCTGGTCATTAACCACCCGTGTTTAAACAGGCTTACTCTGCTATCTTATACTACTTACTACAATTTCAGTGCACTATTCAACACTAAACTTACCTGAGGATAACAATTCCCTCACACATAAAGCCCACGGGGTAGAGCGGGATCCACAAGCTGTACCGCAGCCAGGTCAGCAGCCCAAGCTCCATATTGTAAACTCGTAGCATATAGAACGGATACCTGGACACGCATTAGAAGACATCAATGCCACAATTACTATAACAAGTATTTTTCCAGTTAGGGAAATTTTTTAATAATAACATATTTTTCATAAATTTTTTTATTATTATTAATTATATTATTTCTCAATTTATAATAATTTCAATTGTATGTATGTATAAATCTAGCGGGTGTCAACGAAATGACATTTAAGGAAACCTGTCCGAACTCTGAATCAGGAACGTCTTGAATTGTAGGTAGAACATTACGCAGCAACTATTTTTCTGTGCATGAATATGCAACAAGATTCCTTTCAAGAATAATATAATTCATAATATTTACCTATTATTAATTTTATCATTTCATCCTCGTTCGTTACTTATTCATCTTCCAACATTGTAAGAGTTATATTATTTTTAAAGCATATTCATCGGATAACTCTCAAACTGAAAATGATTCTTGCTCAGTTAGGAAAGTTAAAAACTGAAAATTTTCAAAAACAAAAACCCAAATTTTCTTTCTTACATTTGATGGGTGAATCAGTTGACTAAACATTCAATTCATTCCTTAGTTCATTCACCTAATTAATAAAAAAAAAAGTATAAACTATTTTATGGAAAGGACACGGAATTCAAAATGTTCATTTAGGTCTCTAGTTGAATACTGCATTCATTTATTTGAATTTATTGAATTCAGACAAGTACATTTCTTACTTTTAAAAAAGTAACTCTTACTTTTAAAAAAGTAACTCTTACTTTTTTATCAGGTTCAAGACAAGTATAAAAAATTATAAAATTATTGGGACGAAAATATGTTAGCTACCGGATGATGACTGAAGTTACATCTAATAATGGAGAAGACAGTTATTTTATAGACATTTGTCCTCCTAAGTTTGATTGTGAGTGTTGCGGGTAAGAAGCCTAGCACCACCAGTGTATAGGGGTTGTTGGGTAGCGTATCCAAGCTCCTTATCGTACATCAGTATATAACATACTGAAAATTCATTTTTTAAGAAGGGAAGTAAAACATAAGTAAACTTGAGTAAGTGTTTGAATAATAAATTGAGGCTTGATTGTAAATTGGTTTGGAATAACGGGAATGACAATGGGATCAAAATGAAAAAATGTAATTCCTGTGAGTTAGAAGTGCTAATATTCAAAGAAGTGCAAATATTCCTGAAAGTGCAAATATTAAAGGAAGTGCAAATATTCAAGTACAAATATTAAACGAAGTGCAAATATTCAAGTGCAAATATTAAAGGAAGTGTAAATATTAAAGGAAATGCAAATATTCAAGTGCAAATATTAAAGGAAGTGCAAATATTAAAGTGCAAATATTCAGGGAATTGCAAATTTTTCTAATTTCTTAATGGTAACTTGAACTTGTATAAGCCGATGGGAGAGTTAATATATACTTAGCATGTATGACGGTAATAGAGGATAATTCACCTGACCACCTCGATGATTGACCAGACGAAGAAGAGGAAGAAAACAACAGGCTTTGTCTGCATCCGAGGTTCAGCTTCAATAAGGCAAAAAAATACTACGCCTCTCCCACAAACCTACAGGGATATGTGAAATAAGTTAGGTATTATTATAATATGACAGAGTTTGTTTCCTTAAGCTGAATTCATTGAAGACCAGAGAATAAATTTCAAAATATAATTCTTTAATCAGTCTTCTTTATAGGAAGATAATCAATAGAACACTTTTCAGGTCTTCAATGATATCTGTTTAAGATAGGTATTACATAATAACACATAAACACATAAAGTTTTATAGAATATTTCTGAAGTTAAAAGGTTCCATTATTTACCAAATAATCAGCATTGATTTTTTTACCATTAATTTTGCTGAAATATCTAGCCATCCAAACCGCCAATAGAGGATTGAAAGAAAATCAATAACCTATACATTACTACTCCTGACAACTTTCATGTCTTTCATCAATAATATTTCTGACCAGATAATTCTTAGGAATTGAACAAAATAATTCATTTTTATCGTGGCCTAATAGTACTAAAGTTTATTGAGAAGAGCACCAAATGGTAAAATTATCATTAGCGTTAAGAATAGAATCAATGAGAAAATTTTCAATATATACTTATCAGTTTAAACAGCCAAATGTAAACCCATAACAATAAAACAAAATATAAAATTTGTCAACCAATATCAAAACGTTGACAGTAATTTAGACGATTACAGTACAAATCGTAGTCAATGCATTCATCAACAAACCTGCATTATTGCTTCAAAAGGAGATCCTTTAGTGTAGCCAACAATTGGGTGAAGAATCTCTAGAAACTGTGTCAGGAAGCACAGGTGCATCATCCAGCCAACTGCTTTATAGCTTCCTTCCAAGGACTCTGAAAAAATTATCCATTTAAAATATGAGCAAATAATTAAACTTGTTTTCAATACAGCTTGATAACCATCTAAAAAATTCAACACTTGCAACCTAAACATATTCCCACACTGTAATTCAAATTTAATAAACAATATTTGATATCCAGCAAGTCTTCAAGACGAGCAGGTACAAACTTACCAGCACCAAAACTCGCGTACCGCATCAGAAGCACCACGACGATGTATAGGAAGCCAACAAAAAGCCACAAGTTGTACAGGAATAAGTAGACCTTCTTCAGACTTTCTGCTGCTTGTGAAAGAAATATATCAATTGTAATGTGGAATAATTTAATGTGGAAAATAATTATATGCAAATAATAGCTTTTATTACAGGTTAATATTTATCCACGCCATTAAGAGGGTGTTTTTTAATAGCAAAAATATTAAATCACCAAAAATTGAGCATAACGATTCATAATAAATATGAATAAAGCTAGGTACTTCTTTTGAGGAAGATGATATCAATCATCTAAGCAGCTAAAATGATAAGATTTCTTTGGTAAGTTATGGTAATTGCCAATTTTAGGATAAATTTGTTTTATACCTAATTCACCTCTTCACAGGCAAGTTACCATTTATGGTCACTTGGAACCGCCTCACAAAGAGACTCACCACAGCTTCCTGTTTGTTTTTGAGTCGTCTTTATAATGCCTCAGTCAATCACTAATTATCTGACCACTGTTCCATGCATAGCATCACCACCTACCATGCCCAAACATTGAAATATGAGAATTTAATCGAAAGTTTTGACAATGATGAAATTGACGCTCTCTCTGCATTAGTTTTAAAAGGTGCAAGCAACAATACACATTTAATTATTTAAAGTAATATGATTGAATTGAACTAAATTAAATTTTTTTTTTTTCATTTGCACAACTAAATCTTTATTATAATGAAAATATTTTGTGTTGTGCCCACATTCAATAAATTTTTCAAGTGTGATTTAGGCCTCCAATATGCAAATTTTTTAAAAATACATACAAATAAATATTTTGTATAGTAACACTTCTTACTTTCTTGAAAAATTTTCTGAAATTTTAATTTCTAGATATTCCAATGCTTGCTCGCAAAAGCGTTAATGAAGCTCAAACAATCTTTACATTTACAAACATCCACCAATTATCAATATTCTCTCACAATTTGTACATAATATTCTTATATAATATTTAATATTCTCTAATAATTTGTACCTACAATGATGAATTTAATTGAAATTATTCAAATTTCTCAAATTGTTGCTGCCACAATACACTCACGTTTGAGAACACTGCCAGTCTCAGAGGCCTTCATCTTATTATAAAGGCCTGGGAAATCTTCCAGAATATCACGAGCTTCGTCTTGCAAATCTTCTTCATGCATCCATTTATCAAAATCAATCTGGAAAATACAGATAATGAACAGTAGTTCAACAAAAATTTCATTGCATTTTTATCAATTTTAATTTTAGGAAAAAGATGATTATTCATCACTAAAATTAAACATTAAATTGAAGACTTTGTGACTGAATAAATCATGAAAATGTTTTGCAAACAATTGTAAAAAACACCTAAAACATTTGGAACACCTAAAATCTTGGCTTGCTCACCTTCAGCCATGCGGGTTTTAGATTTTCATGCAATAATCTTGGCCAAAACTTTGGATCCTGCTTAGTGAGCCTCAACTCAACATTGCGGGGTGTGACTTTTTCAATGGTGGCCTGCAAAATTCACACAACATTAGACTTGGAATAAAAAACTAAGTAATCAAATTATGATTATTAGGTTAACAGTCCTTCCTTTCATACTTTTAATACCTATATGGTTCATGATACACATTTCAAAGTAGAAAAACTGTAACATGTTCAAACATTTTACCAATTATATTAAAATATTAGAAAAATATCAAGAAAAACAAATTTCCATCAAGCACTTGTTAAATGTGGTAGCAAACAAGATACTGTTTAGTTACCTCTTCATTTTCTGAGCCTAATGAGTATATCAGTCAAGTATCATCAATATCAGCATAATCATACATAAAGATATATTATAAAATCTGGGAGTAGAGCATTAACAAGCAACGAAGGTCTCTTGTTTGTTACTATGGTAATTGATAACTTGATAAGTCCTGGGCATTGATGTTATCAAAGCCCAATAATTCAGATCACTAACCTCTGGGTCAACTGCATACATGAGATCTAACTGGAAACCATATGTATTCTGGCCTTGGTTGCCAACTCCCACAGCATTGAAGTAGATGACATGGTCTTGGACATCAATATCAGGAGACTGGAATTTCAAAATGGATGATAGTGAAGCATTAACATGTTAAAGATAGTTTGCTCCAGTCAAAAATCACAAATTTGAAAAATATATTTGTTTATATAAAAAAAATATTACAAATACAAAATAAATATATAAATACAAAATATATATAAAATATATATTTTGTACTCAAACTTCGAGTATGTATGTAATAAAAATATATTTTTATATATTTGAATTGTCACAATTAAACATGTTAAGAAATGTCAATATCCAGATTATAAAGTAATTTATTATTTATTAACAAGTAACAACTTATTTGAAAAATAGACATTAGTATGTTTTGGGGAGTAACACATTTTTATTTATATTGTATCAATAAGAAAATAATCCCACCTTGACATTTCTCAAATCAATTTTGAGAGTGATTTCTTTTTCTGTTTGAGCCCAGTAAACAAATGGGCTCAAAGTTTTGCTCTCCATTATCCTGCAGCAGTAACAGGATCTAATTAATGATAGTAAAAAGGCTGAGCTTCATCATCTGACATTCCATCTCAGACTGACATCATCAAAAGACTGACATTCCACAAAAAATTCAAGGAACTAAGATTGTTAAATTTATCAACGGAGTTTTGAACCTGAATTAGCCTACTAGAAAGAGATTTCTACAAGAAAACAGAGGTTCATATAATCCAGTATATAAATCTCAACTAAGGCTCCCATAAATTATTTAGCATTATTAAATTAGCAAGATATTCCTATCCTAGCATCACAACAGTGACTGAGTGACATTATGGCAGTCAACATCACAACATGTAAACATGACATTATGACATATTTTCACATTGATATGACAGCATGATATTATGACTTGACAGTCAACAGCATGACACCACAGTTCCCAAAAAGCAGATATTGATATACTGCACTCAGTGCACTGTGCCACTGCAAGTCTGTGACTACAGACTCAACATGCTGAAGGTAGCTTGTAAAAAAAATTTATTATATTTGTTAGAATATTGATTTGTTTTTTGTAGGGTACAATCCCCACTCCCCAGTCCCCACATACCTAATTGCTATTTGCCACCACAATCACAATGTTTTGATGATGAGTGTAATGTAAAAAGTTCAGATAATTTCTATTGAAGGCCAACAGGCCAAGCAGTGGCAAGCACCAAGCCCAAGGCAACGAAAGTGGCATAAAATAGAAGTTAGTTAGCTACTGTCCAAACTCTAAATTATGTTCAGCCCGCAGCCCAAGTCATTTAATATCCAAATTCCAATATAGGCAAACAAAAACCAAAGCATGTCTATGACAAATAATGTCAAATAAGAGAGGGGAAAAAAATTTTTTTGCACTCTCAAATCTGGACAATCAATTTAAAGAAAAACCATCAACCATGGACATGAGTCAAATGACATTGACTGTTTGACACGTGACAAAAATGAAAATAGGGTAAACGCGGTATATTCCGACATCGTGGGTAATTCTGTCACCTCTTTAGTTTTTCCTTTATATCAAGCTTTGTTTTAGTTCCATGCATTTGTTGATGGTTGAAATGGTGACGTCATACATTTGTGCGTCAAACTACTGCCAAAACACTAGGTCTTGGCCATCTAGCGGGAAAATATTGAGATCCAAAGAGAGACAATGCACGCTACCCAGTGAGATCATCAAAAAATGTGTCAAATTTGACAGTTGACCTTGCTCTACCAAAAAGTGAATAACTGTTTGTATAGGAAGAATATTATGGTTTGAGACTTTTAAATATGTCTGTGAATATATTAGAAATCCTTTAAGTATACTTGTATTCGCTGATTTCAAGTGGTAAATAAATTAATAGATGATTGAGTTGAGAAATGGATTTAGACACATGAAAACTAATTCCGTCACAACTTGAATTGGACACACACAGATCGTTCCAAGCTTGTAACCCCCATGTTAGTAAGTCGCGAAAAAAATCGGTTTTCCGATGCCGACCGCCAAAAATGGATTTCAGATTCATAATCTACACCCCAAAAAACATATAATTAAAAAAAAAAAACACCCTTTTTTTTGGATGTACTTAATCTGCAATAATACCCTTGAGGGAGAGTCTAAAAAACTCTCTGCTTTGCCACTATGCCTACTACCTAAACTAGGCTATAATATCATATTAAAATATAAAAACTAGAGATTAATTAAGTAAAAAATTAAAGCTACTTAAGTGATTTGATATAAATTAATCTTACTGTAAAGTGTAAGGTGATTATGATTAGTAAGGTGAAAAATTAGGTGATTGAGGAATGAGGATTTAAGGTGAGACTGTGAGTAAGGGGACTAAGATTGATAGTGAGATTTTCATGAAGCTTCTTACAAAGTTATACCTACCCATAGTTATAGATTAGTACCTAGCCTTTTGGCCTAGTACCACACTGAGTACCTAGTGAGTAGGCCTAGTACAATCTGTCACTAATTACCGACTACAGAGAAGTTGAAAACTGAGTGCTGAGCTGAAGACTGCTGACGCTGAGCAGGGTTGGGGATTGGGGAACGATCTGAGTTCTCGAACAGACAAACCACAAATTCTTAGTCTGTCATACTCATAGTACTATACAAAATTACAAATCCAATTGAAGAATCAGTGTCGATTATTTCGTCTCTGGCCATGAAATGAACTAGGTATTGATTCTTGAAGTACTTAAATGTGAGCTATGTGACTATAACATTATAACTAGCATTTCTTATCAAGTTATCATGCTAGTATTTCCGCGGGATGCCAAGCACAACCTGAATTGAGTCAGGACTGCACTGGCAGTAGTGGCAGAAAGAAACCACTGCCAGTCTGCCGCACGGCGTCTGTCTTTCTACGAATCAAATCTACCGTACTAGTAAGTAGTAACCCTAGACCCCCCGCCCCAAAGGTGTATCGTACACGAGAATGAAAACTTTAAACGAAACTCCTATCTAATCTAAACTAATTTTTCCGCGTATGAAAGCACCAACGTTTTTTCACGGACGAGAGATAACAATCGTGAAACGGTACTGACTGAGCCGGATCAGCAGTCAAATGCCGCGACAAGACGAGGAAACAGTGCAGCTGAGCTATGACATTTCAAGCAAGTGGTATGTGAATGAATGATATAAGAAAAAGCGTTAATTATTGGTGTTGGAGTATTTAACATGATATTGTCTTTTCCCATCGTAAATAAAAGATAAAGTTAGTTGACCTATTGGGAAATTTGTAGGCTCGTGCACAAAATGTGATTTTATCCAGTTTGTTGCACGGTACAAACGAAAGATGTACTTTTCAGAGCACCAGCACGTGCGTTACAACCCACTGCGAGACGAGTGGGTTCTTGTATCGCCTCATCGTATGAAACGGCCGTGGAGCGGACAAGTTGAAAAACCAGCCGAAGATATCCTACCCTCTCATGACCCCCAAAATCCTTTATGTCCTAGGGTTACGAGACCAAATGGACAGGTGCGTTAAATAATGCATATTTAAATTGGAGCTAAATACTAATATTTAGGATGAAAATAGCAAATGTATTGAACAAACATGGTGCGAAATAATTCTGTAGCAAATTATCGACATCTGAGTACAACATATAATCCAAATTTAAATATGTGTTAGTTGTATTTGCCTGGCATTGCATTATTGTCGTTGTACAGACTTTATTATTTAAAGCTCGAAGATATATTATCATAGAAATAATATCCATGTTTCATGTACCGTAGGTAAATCCGGATTATGAGTCTACGTTTGTCTTCACAAATGATTTTCCTGCTCTACTGGAAGACGTTCCTGAGCCTCCAGCAAGCGAAGATCCACTCTTCCAAGCGGCTCCAGCAAAAGGGTGTTGCAAGGTTAGTTCACGTAATTTAAAATTTCACTCGCGTTCACGAATTGCAATCGCCGTGCCTTAACTTGTTGGCTAAGTTATTTTGATGTATCAGATGACTACCTATAGGTATAGCAAATGTGCCTATTCCTATTAAGTTTTATTTTTATTGATACTTCGATTTTGGCAGCTTATTTCTATTACGAAGGAATCGTCAATACTGTAAATCCAATCCTATTCTGAGCAAGTTTATACGTAAAAACTTGTTCCTACTTGCCCATTTTTTCGCGGTTTACGTGCTTTATATTTTAACCTATACTCAGGTCATGTGCTTCCATCCACGGTCTGATTTGACGCTGCCTCTCATGACTCAAAGCGAGGTTCGCAATGTTGTTGACAGGTAATAATTTTGTTCAGTATTCGTATGGCAATAAATTTACATTTATGATGTTATTAATTTTAAAATAGTAATTAAATTACTCCCAAACTTACATTTTCTTTCAAATACCGGTAATTTTTACTCCTTAAGAGAGATCAAACAGAACTACGGTATATCAATATTATAACAAGATTTTATAACACTGAAAAAAATTTTTTTTTCAGATGGATTTCAGAAATGGAAGTTTTGGGCCCGAAATTCAATTGGGTTCAAATTTTTGAAAATAAGGGAGCAATGATGGGGTGCTCGAATCCTCACCCGCATTGTCAGGTAGATAACTATGTCTATGGTCTCTATTAGAAGTTTTTTTAATTTGTTCACATGTAAAGATATTTACCCGTTCGTAAATATAACTGCGAGTCATACCACAGTAATATTCTAAGAATCTCGCCGGTTCATAGTATTTTTCTGTTATTTTCATGTTAATATTCTTGCATTTTAGTTTAAAATTACTCCTCTTAGATTTGGGCGTCATCATTTATCCCAAATGAAGCTCGAATCAAGCATGAAAAGCAGAAGCAGTATTTTGAACAGCATGGCCGTCCGATGCTCATGGATTACGTCCACAAGGAACTCGAAAAACAGGTACACATAATCTACCTTATGAAATAACTTTCAATTAATATTTCTCGTTGGTGAAAATTAATTTTTAGATTTAAGCTCTATGTTTTTAATTATTTGTTCCTATTTTGATCAATCAACGAATGCAGCTCATTTTGTGTTTCCAAACACAGATCTTTTCCTGCATTATTTCAAATTTCACTGCAATAATATGCTTTTTCTGTAGCAGCGCTTAAGTTTATTTTCGATAATGGAAAATCGCATTACTCCACATCACAAGATTGGGGTATTTAACAGGAGACTGTTCTTGAAAACAAAGTTTAAAATCCAGTTGCTTAGAGATTGGTAGAAGTTGATCGCATCTAAAGATGATTCTTTACCCAGAAACCTAAAAATGATTATTTGCTGTAGAAATTAATAATGATTTCTTGCTTAGGAGCGCATTGTATGCAGCAACGACTCGTGGCTGGTACTGGTGCCGTACTGGGCAGTGTGGCCGTACGAGACTATGGTGCTACCAAAGGAGCACGTAAGGCGGTTCACAGATCTCACTCCCGAGCAGCGCGACTCTCTCGCCGACATTATACGTCAAATCACGACGAGATACGACAATCTTTTCTCATGCTCCTTCCCGTACTCCATGGGGTGGCATGGTAAGTTAGTTTCGCACGCAAATCGGCAAATGCAATATGATAATTTTAACTAGAATAAGTCAGTAGTCTACCACTATTGCCTCGTTGCATATCCTCAAAGTTCGTAAGGTTTTCAACAATAATTATCACGATTTACAATGATTCGACTATTAAAAAACACTCAATTTTCATTCTCATTTTATATAATACTGTTTAACTGTGTTCATCTATCAGTATAATATATAATGTGATAAAAATGATCATGCCGATTCCTCGCATTCAAAAATGTAAACAAAACCCAAAAATGAATCGGGCGACTAGGTGCTAATCTTGTTCTCACGGTTGAAGGCGCACCAACTGGAGATCATCTGCAAGACCCCAACGAACATTGGACGTTTCACGGAATGTTCCTGCCGCCTCTGCTGAGATCTGCAACAGTGAAGAAGCACATGGTGGGCTACGAACTGCTTGCCCAGGCGCAGCGAGATCTCACTGCGGAGCAGGCTGCTCAGAAACTCAGGGATCTTCCTTCGGTGCACTACAAACAAGCATGATTTTTTAATCCTCCTGTTGCTGCTCGCCGCCAACCTGATATGCCTGCGTACTTTTAATTTCACATGGTTGATTAAATTAGATTCATTATCAGTGAGTACTTCGCTCGTCTAGGTTAAATAAATTTACGCTGTTTTCATAATAGCACATCTCACGGTTGCTTGGGCAAAATTATCATTTACGCAAAATTAACATTATTACCTGTATTTATAAAATGTTTTAGCTTATTTGTACTGCTGATACTTCTTGTATTTCTTGCAGCGTTCTTAATTCACTCAATTGAAGCATGGGATGCGGTATAACTAGACTTGGTGTTATGATTTACAATATCAGTGTCATGTCAATTGATTTATAATAATAAATATGGATTCATTTAATAATAACGTGATTCCGCTTCTGAATTGATTTCACGCGCTATGTTTAGACTTTCATAAAGAGGTTGTCTTCGTTTGTTACAAAGATACAAATGTTATTCTAGTCATAATAGTTATTTTCAAGCATATTCTTGAACTTTAACCTGATTTATGTACATAAACGAGTTGAATTATCTGTAAATTTTTATTACTCAGGAATAGAAATGATAAATTCGATTAATGTTACTATAAATAGTTCAAAATTTCTTTGCCTCAAACGTCGGCATATAAATCCACCAAGAAACATTTGTTGATCATCGCAATCATTGTCTAATACACGTAACTCGATGTGGTTTTATTCAATCGAGAGTCGAATTCTTACAAAATCTTAGGAAAAACAGTGGATGTAGCTTACAAAAAAAGCTTACTCTTGCCATAAAAAAGACCAAGTACAGCCTCAAGATTCCTGTAGAACATGAGAGAAGTAGGAAGAAAGAATTAGAGATCCACTGTTATGGGAGTTTTATTGTGTTCATTATTTTGTCTGAAACGAGTACAAGCAGCTGCAACTAAAGCAACGTAAATCACCGCACTACATATAATTTGACATTTTGTGCATGATCACCGGCGTATCGATTCTAACCAGGCTTCAAATCTTCGCTAAATAGAAGACCTCGTATGATATGAACGACTTACAGTCAAGTGATATGAAGGGCACCTCAAGGCAGACCTCTTCCTCTTATCTTCATGCATGCTGACACTCTTAACTTAATCAATAACAGTACGAAGAAGCGACTACTAATAAGAAGCGAGGTGAGATAAGGAGCAAAAGTAGAGAGACGAGCTTGAAAAGTTGATGAGAGAGCGTCTCCCTCTGCAACAAAAGAAAACTGTACACAGAATACAGAGGAGACATGAAGGTACACACATGTACGTATTACGAGACACAATAAAGAAAATTTACACAGGACGCAGGCACTCGCGAAATACACCAGCGGAAATTCATTGCGTGACAGCCCTACAAGTCGCGCAAATTGGACTAGATGGCAGTAGATCAAGTTTCATATTGACAGCGTGTGCATTGGGTGTAAGCAACAGTTGAACTTAGCATGCACGATAGAATTCAGAATTTAACGCCTCCAATACTGGAAATTTTGATCCTGTATTTCTTAAGCAGTAAAACTCAGTCAGAGACTTGTTCGTGACCTTACTAATACCGTGGGCGTAATTAACGATGAACTTCAGATAATAGCGATGCAATTGGAAAACGAACGAAATAAAACGAAGCGCGAATACAAACACAAATGAGAGCTGCATTCATTCACGGTACATAACAAAAATCCAATCGAGGAGCAAAAAGATGGACAATAGAGATAGGCCACATAAGACGTCTTGAGCTGCAATACACACACAATTAAACGAGAGAAACACAAGAAAGCACATCTTCTTAGGCTATTTTTCGGATGAATTTCATGGAAGAAGAAGTAATGGTATAATCTTATCCATGTTTCGATCGTTCATGTTCAGACGGCCCAACATACACGCATCGTACGAAGATGACAGACTGACCTGTGCAAAATGCTCGCAAACTCTAGATGGTTACGAAAAGAGCTGGGAATTTTTTCCCAATATAAAAAATCTAAACCGAAGTATAGCAGCATGAGTGGAGAAATGAAACTGTTTGCCTCGACTATTGCTACTTTGCTATATAATAACTTTCAAAACTTATGGGCCTGAATGAACAATAGCAACTCTTAGACAGTAGTTATTGGCCCAGAGGTCTACCAAAAGTACTTGGTATAAAAATACGATTTCAATTCAAATGTACTCGTTCAAAATAGACTTGACTTGTAATCAACAATAGGAACCTATCAACATAATCTACTGAGGCTTCTTATCCACTCACCATAACGGCGAACAATTGATCGCATCTTTTGTTATTGCTCCGCCACATAACAAGCACATGATTTGTGCAATTCTCAATATCAAATTTTCATAACAATTTTCTCGAGACAGAACAAAAAATAATCAAATATCTCAGCACCTGAGTAAATATCATGATTAGTTTTTCGATATGGTATCAAATAAATACATATTCCCCACCCCCGCAAAAAAGGAAGATTTTACAAACTACCAATTTCAATGACATCGTTTGAAAATGGCAAGATAAATGAAATCTAAAAACCATGATCCCGAAAGCAGTGAACAATTATAACTCTCTAGAGTATAGAAAGAAGTCACAACTCTTCATTATATGAGAGAGAATCACACTCGAATGGCAGTCAATTGGTAAGTTAGCAGAAGCAGCACAGCAGATGCCTCGCGACAGGCAATTAGTAGTTCAGCTCTTAAATCACCGAGCAGTCAAACTTCATTAGATTCTTGTTTTGTTCATGTAAATTTCAAGCAACTCTTATTAATTTGCCGTTGCGAAGTAAGAGCCAATTAAAATATTTCTTGTTGATTTCTTTATCACAATGCAGTGACTTTGCATCTCTTCCAGATTAGTAACTTTCATTCCCAAAGTCAATGCGATCAAATGCGTCAATTCATTTCTCGACGACTGATGAATGCCTAAAAGATATCTGCTGGCCACGTCCCACAGGCGGTATGATTGTGCTCTAGCCACGACGGAAGACAACGAGTTGAGTTTGCCGGACGACACGACGTTGTTTACAAGTCGCTCTCGCCGTACAGGGATGTGGAGAAGGACATGTAGTCGAGGGCTTCTCTTGGGGCGTCGCCCCCTGTGTAGGGCTGCATACGCTGGATGCAGTACTCGGCCTGGTCGGGGGGCAGTTCTCGTTGCAGCTCCTCAGGCAGGATGTAAGGCTGCACAAATAATTAATTTACAATTAAGGAATGCACTATTACATTACAAAACCGTCGTTTCAAGGAAAATTCGAGGTAAAAAGTATGTATCCAGAGGCAAGAAACGCAAAAAATACCTTCAATTCACGAAACGAATCTGAAACAAAAGAATGAATTGAAGAAGACATTTACGAGCTTAAAAATAAGTATAATAATTCAAAATTCACGGCAGTAAAACTAAAGGGATTAAACTTAAACTTGCAAAGTCTTTGAAGAACAGCGGATTATCACATTAATATTGTGAACATTTCACACACATTAAGTTTTGATAATTGCTAACTGACCTTATCGCCAGCCAGAATCCTGAACGAGTCGATAACTTGTTCGGCGGTGTCAGAGTCGACGTTCTCTCTGGTCATGAAGTCAAGGAAGGCATCGAACTGCGTGTAGCCGGAGCTGTTGGGATCCACTATGGACATAATGCGCTGGAAGTCGATTTCTCCCTGGTGGTCCTTGCCGATAGAGTAGCCCAGTGAAATGAGGCAGGACTTGAACTCGTCAGGGTTAAGTTTGCCGGTCCTGTAAAATTAGGGTTTTATGGAAGAAAGGGCACCGTAATTCTCCCTCATATAAAAAAGTTTGCATAGAAATCATATAAATGAAGCTGCATAAACTATGATCTAGTAGGAAGAGTTTAACAAGCAGTATATCAAGGACATGAGCGAAAGCAAAGGGAAATTACGAGCTTATCAACTTATTAGGATACCTAGCAGCTTAGTGACAAAAATATATCTTGATGGGATGCATCCCGTGATTGGAGTAAAATCACTCTCATTATCATTCTGATTAAAGGTCCTGAGATGCAGCTTGACTCAAAACAGGTCTTCCCAACAACCCTACAGAAACTGAACAATAATTTACGACAATTATGACATTTCACACAATTGTTCTCCTGACGGAACACTTTTTAATAATAGAATAAAAATCAAAAATAAACTCAAGCACGACCCTGACCTGTTCTTATCGAAGTGGTTGAAGGAGCTGCGGAACTCGTTGAGCTGCTCCTGAGAGATGCCCTTCGAGTCCCTGGTGAGGATCTGGTTCTCGACCTCGTTGATGGTGCGGTTGATGGACGTCAGCAGCTGCTCCCAGCCCACGCGCAGCGTCTCCATGGTGTACTGGGTGTACCTGCGCATCAACGTCTCCATTGTATTCAGGGTAAAATTCTCCACTGTAATCAGGATTAAACTCTGGTCGCACAAAATTTTTATTTTGAAGCAACAGCGGTGGACGCAAAGTAGTTCTTCTATCATGGTCTCCTGTACAGCCTGGAGGTTCTCCTAAGACTGAGGTCCTACCTAACCTATTCTCGAAGATCATAGCCTCCTGTACAGACTGGAGGATATTCCATGACTGAGATCCTACCTATTCTCGAAGATCATAGCCTCCTGCACAGCCTGGTGGATCTTCTCCATCTCCTCCATGATGGCCTTGTTGGACACCACGGCGTTCTCGTACTCCTTAAGCCTGTTGAGCTGGTCTTCCAGCACCGAACCGTGCATGCCCATTCCTGACACGAAACGGGGCACGAATTAGTACCAAATCAACGTGATAAATATAAATTCAGTCCCTAATTCTCAAATTATGCTTTAGATTCCAGGAGAAAATAAATAGGAAGTTGTTGTGCAAGATATCCAAATCCGAGAGCCAAATCTTTTAACGGTAAATAAGCAAGCTTCATTGCCATTCATGTATAGTGTTGGTAAAATTCAGTCACAATCAAGCTCGCAGTCGATTTAAATTGTCAATTTCCCCCGGAAATGCAGAAAATCAAGTAATTAGCAGCAGCCTGAGAATAGGAAGAAAAAAGAAGAGTCCGTGAACGGCAGTGAGGTCTCACCGATGGCGGCGACAGCGTCCATCTGTTTCTCGATCCAAGGACCGACGCCGTTTGCCTTCTCTGCGAAGGTGCGTCGGAGGTTCTCGTTGTTCTGCTGCTTCTTGAGCTCTGCCTGCAGCGTGTTGTCGCGTGCGGGTACCAGCTTCTTCACGTCGCCCCACTTGCCCGAGATCACCTGCACCACAACAAAGCCAGATAAACACCACATGATAGAGAAAATGTGATGAAAAAAGTGACATATACTGCAAAATGACCGTAAATTTAAAATGATTGAGCACCAGACCATATAGAGAATATGATAAGAAAAAAACAGCGAAAGGACAATAAAACAAGAACGGTCGAGACCGTTTGTGCATAAAATAAAGTCGAAGAGCCAACTGAGAAGATGAGAAAGGCCTATTTACTAGTTTTAAGTAACTCGCAATAATGTAAAGCATACGTAAATTATTATTATGAGCTTACTTATGTAAATAAAATATCTTTAAAGGTAATTTCTTTAAAGGAAATAAGACAAGAAAAATAACACAAAATCCTAAAGTTTGTTTTGGAAAATGTGGCCTAAGATAAGATGGTATATTGTTGGCAGCCACTGAACAGTTCAGTTGGTACTAATAAACATCACTTTTAAGAATGAGTTCATATTGAACCTATCAAATAATTTCCCTCCATTTTATTAAATTTAATTTCTATGAATAGTGACATGAATCTCATAAGCATCAAGTGTACATAATCATTAAATAAGTTTGAATATCTCTCAACACTATAGTGACGCAGGTCTCCTGTATGTGCGAGCACATGCAACACCGACACGTCAACACAGCGCTGCGCAAAGACCATGCTCCTCCTGAACTTCCACATTAAGAAATAATAAAGAAATTGACTTCTTTTCGCGGGCATCCATACACACACAACGAAAGAAACGTCCAACATTTCAAGACGAGAAGAAAATTTGGTAGTGGAGAGTTGAAAAGAAATTGAAACCTATTAAGGAAGCTTTTCCTTGCTGCGATAGCGGACGGAAAGAGATGTAACAAATGAGTCTTGAAAGTTGAAGCATGAGACACTTCAAGCTTGTACGTATTGACAGCTAAAAATAACATCTGCCTCTGAAAATTACGCAATTAACTACAATATACGAGAGCCATTAAAAAAAGAGAAAATGAGGAAAGGGCAAAAACTTAGACAGCGATTTACTTACGTGTTAACGTGTTATAACTAAGGCAGAAATACTGACGAATATTTGGTTGAATAAACAAATTCCACATCGAACAAAATATGATCACTCCCGATGTTTCAGTGACTAGTTGTAATCTGATCTAGTTAGTTGTAAACTAGCATGTTAAGCCAGACTAAATCTTGTTACATATAATAAGAACATAAATGTTTGAGAATTATCATTGAAAGTATAGTTTCATAAATGAAAATACTGCTAACAAAGTTTCAAGTGAATTTGAAAGCGTTCTTGCAAAAGACTGACCATTTAGCACTAAGAGTTCTAGGAGTATTGTGACTGAAATTCTCAAGTGAATTTCGATTAATTCTTGCAGAAAATTGATTCATTTAGCACTAATAATTCTAGGAATATTGCGATTGAAATTCCTAGGCGAATTTCAATTCATTCTTGTAGAAGATTAATTCATTGAGCACTAAGAGTTCTAGGAATATTGTGACTGAAATTCTACCGTGAATTTCGATTAAATCTTGCAGAAAATTGATTCATTTAGCACAAAAAAAGAGTTCTAGGAATATTGCGATTGAAATTCCTAAGCGAATTTCAATTCATTCTTGCACAAGATTGATTCATTGAGCACTATAAGAGTAATAAGAACATTGATAGCTTGAAGGAAGCCAAGCAGAGAGAATGAGAGGACACAATACCTCGAAGCTAAACTCAACGTCTTCCGTAAGCTTGTTAAGAAGAGCGCACAAGATTGTTATCACAGACGGTGTCTCACTACTGAGAAACATTAACTAGTTTCAAAACGAACATTAATAGAATATATATAGCGTCAATAAGGAAAGGAATTACTGCAATTACGATTTTGGTAATTGGTAAGGATCGTATTGGCACCAGCAAGTTATGAAAGTTGGACACAAACTCTGAGCATTACTTAAAAACATTAAATGTTTAATACTGTTCACTTTATAATTTCTAGAGAACATTACACCGTTTGTGCAAATATTATCCAAAGATTTGCTTGTTGTAGACTAACTCAAGGTCTAAATTATTACTTGACGCATTTTTTCACATAAACGAATAGGATAAGACACGGTAAAAAATACATTGAGATGTCATCAAGTATTTTTTATCCTAACTTCACTGAAGGCAAATAGCTGTAACTATTTATTTCAGTGTATTTACAAAATTTATTTAACAAGTGTTAACGCAAACTTTCATGCACTCTGAAAACAAAGAACTGTATCTATTAACAGACCATTTAAATCCAATAATTAGTTTTAAAATCTAATTCTAATATTCAATATGAATGTTGTACGATGGAGATATTTCTCAAGTTATATTCTGCATATACATTATTCGAGTTATATATTCCGAGCTGGCTGGTCTTTATTGAACGGTATAGATTAACGTTTTTTTGAACGATAGAGATGACGTTTCTATTGAACGGTATAGATTAACGTTTTTATTGAACGGTAGAGACGACGTTTCTATTGAACGGTAGAGGCGACGTTTTTATTGAAGAGTAGAGACGACGTAGAGTTTACCTGAGCAGTGAGTGTAGTGTAGGCGTTGTCCAGACCGCCAGGGATCTGGTACTTCTGAGCGATGGCCTGCACCTCCGTCACTAGGGACATGATCGCCTGGAACTCCTTGTCTGCCTCACCCAGCGTCGCCTGAAACAGATTCGTTCAGTAATATAATACAAAAAAGTAGGTTTATCCATTTCTATACCAAAGACACGTAAAGAATACAAAAATATGCATGAGAATTTCATTACTTTTTAAAAAATACAGGAGCAATGCAACTATAGTAGAAGACGAGATGAACTAGAATAATAAATGTACGAAAATAAGGCATTTTTATCCGCGATTTGTAAATCACAATTTGAAAACTCACTGAAATGAAATTATTTATAATCAACTTCTTAACGTTTCACGAGACCAACATAATAATTCATGAGCGCGATGAATAGGTATATTTAAATGCAGCACACACACACAACTCGACCGGACTACATAAATACCACAATTCTTTAAATCAACGCGCTTCCTATGAATAATATGCATGAATGATAAATTCAGGTACATATTTCCGCATTAAATTTGTTTGCATTTTTAAATAAGTTTGGCCTGAAGCCTAACACAGTAAAATTGTGCTAAAGATGACGTGTGGTCTAAGAAAACTGATTAGCTCGCCCACCTTGAACCTGATTGTGAGCGTCGATAAGCTCTTGTTTTTCCTCGATTGTTAATATTATAAAATGTCGCTACCGAAGCTCAAGATCATGCACGGAATAGCAAGATTTGCAAAAATTACCATCATAAAATCAAAAAAAAACATTTAAACGAGAAATCTAAGCTCGCCCACCTTGAACTGGTTGTGGGCGTCAATGAGCCCCTGGATTTCCTCAATTGTTACTATTATAAAATGTAGCTCCCGAACCCCGAAATTATATACGAAATTGCAAATACCATCATAAAATTTATAAAAGAACATTTAGAAGACGAAATATAAGCTCGCCCACCTTGAACTGGTTGTGAGCGTCGATGAGCCCCTGGATCTCCTCGATGGTGTGCACAATGAACATGTCCACGAGGTCCTCACAGGCGCCGTCCAGCCAGTTGTTGAACGGCTGCACGACGTCATAAAAGTCAGGTACACCGAGACCATACAATTATTATAGTACCACATGTACTGAAAACATTTCAAAGTATCAATGACGAACAAAACCAGTAAAATTCCACCACAATATAGATTGTCAAATCTCATTAAAGAAATTGTATGAATCCCCTTACTGACCGCGGCTTGTTTGGAAACGCAAATTCTTGGTTAAATCTCACAGAAAAAAAATCGAATAAATTATTGTTCTGACCGCAGCTTGCTTGGCAACTCAGAAGCTTCATTCAATCTGAGAAAAAAGGCTATTAAATCCTTGTCCTAACCGCGGCTTTCTTGGAAACGCCAATTCTTAGTTAAATCACACAAAAGAAATCGAATAAATTATTGTACAGACCGCGGCTCGCTTGGCGAACTCAAGATGAAGCTGATCGATTTTCTCAAGAAGTTTCTCGGTCTCCTCGAGGGCGTTCCTGCGCTGCGTGGTCTGGCTGCCGAGACGGTCCCACTGGTCGCAGATGGCCTGGCAGCGAGCGTTGATCGTCGCGCAGTCGTAGTAGTCAAGAGCGTTCAGCTCCTGCGCTATCGCAGCTATCTGCTCTACACGGTCCTATGGCAAAAATAACTCCAATTACATTCAAGAATTCATTATTTTATTATTTATTTATTATATTATTACACCAATTACTTTCACGACTTTCACGGTGTTAGCTTCATGTTCCCATTAGCAACCAACAAAAAAAAATGATCGATAGCGAAATCCCAACCAAATACGAAGCTACACGAGATTTGCAAAAATTCAAGCCAATAGAAGTACACTCTGATTCTATGTCTTTAAGAGACACCAAATTTACAAATTGAACAACATTACTGCTGTTGATTGAAGGCAAGTTAATTGAGTTTAATTTTGCAGAGTTACCTGGTGAGCGGCAAGATCAGACTCAAAAGCCTCGTGTTTTTTCTTCAAGGCTTTAAGTTCGTTGAGTTTGCTGTGACGGAAGTCCTGGCTCATGAGCATCTCTTCCTTGCCGGCCGTCCACGACTCGTGGATGTCAGCCTTGTGGTTGAACTTCTTAGCCAAATGCTCGAGACGCTCCAGTCTGCAGGTACACAATAACTATAAAAGTAAACTTTTAAACGAGAAATAAAATTTTTTAAGAAAGCCAAAAAGAACTACCTACACTTTGGGAGTAATTTTATTTCAGACTCTCTGATTTCATTTCTTTTAATACGATTTCTTTAAACGCACCGGGCGACAATACTTTTCACTTTAAACGCATAAAATTGTAACGAATACAAATAACCTTTCCTGCAGTAACACTATTTGCTCTTCATATTGAAACTGACTGGAGGTAATAACATCATTCCAGCACGTCCTATGTGCTAGAATAATGTTCATCTCAGTCCTTCGCTTGACTTTCTTCTACGAGCATTTGAAATAGAAAATAATGATTGACAGTGTGAATGATTGATGATGATTTTGTGAATGATTTACAATGTGAATGATTGAAGATGATTTATTGAATGATTGAAAGAATGATTGCGTTAATTTAATAAGAGCCTAGACTTCATCATCTCAGCAAGACTTCTTCATGTATTTGAAATAGAAAAGAATGACTGAGAGAGTGAATGACTGATGATGATTTAGTGAATGATTGAAAGAAAGACTCCGTTAATTTAACAAGAGCTCGGACCTCATCAGCTCATTAAGACTTCCCCGTGTATTTAAAATAGAAAATGATGATTGAACGTGTGAATAATTGATGATTATTTCGTGAATGATATATGATTATTTAGTAAATGAAGATTATTTCGTGAATGATTGAAGGAATGATTTAATAAGAGCATCATCATCTCAGTTAATTTACTAAGAGCCCGGACCTCATCATCTCAGCAAGCAGCCATTCCTCGAAGGTCTTCTCACAGCCCTCCAAGTTCTTCCAGGCGTTGGCGATGTCCTGGACGCTCTTGCCCTCGGATGGAAGGTAGGCGGGGCGATTGCTCAAGCGCAACTTCGTCTGTGATTAGATCAAGAAATAGATTTAATTTTATGAAATACCTGCTGATAATTCATGTCCATCTTGCACAATGGATGCTGATGCTAACCTGTAACAATGCTACCTCGTTAGGATTAGATATGTTTCATGCAAGTAACAATGATAACAATCTTGCCGGAAAATAAAAGCGGTATTGATCATAGAACTCTCACCACGAATATTGCTAGACGACATAAAGTGGGAGTAATTAGAGGAAGGCGTTAAAATTCAATAAAAAGATCGAATTAATCATCTAACTTTTACAAGCCCTGTAAGGCTTGAGATTAAAGCGGTTAACCGCAACGGTAAAAATACTACAATGTTGGAATAATTGAAAACTAGGCGAGCGACTGGCCACACCTGAAGGGTATTCAAGTTGGTCTCGAGCCTGGCTTTCTGTTGAAATTAATCCTTTAACTTATACAAGCCCTGTAAGACTTTAGATAAGATTGCGGCGGTTAACCGCAACGGAAAAATACTACAATGTTGGAATAACTAAAAACTAGGCGAGCAACTGGCCATACCTGAAGGGTGTTGAACTTGGTCTCGAGCCTTGCTTTCTGTTCAACTCTAGGAGGCTTGTGGTTGCGGCGGTTAACCGCAACCGTAAAATACTACAAGGTTGGAATAATTGAAAACTTAGCGAGCAACTGGCCACACCTGAAGGGTGTTGAAGTTGGTCTCGAGCCTGGCTTTCTGTTCAACTCTAGGAGGCTTGTGGTTGCGGCGGTAGAGCCTGTATTCCTCGAGCTTCTTCTGGAGGTCGGCGAGGGTGTTGTCGGACTGGCGCGCCTGCAGCCAAGGCAGCGTACGCCTGATCCACTCGAGCAGGTCAGAAGTAAGGCGCTCGTATTCTTCCATGAGGCGTTCGTTCTCTTGGTTCACCTTCAGCACCTTGCAGATGCGGTTCGCGGCCATTTCAGCCTGAACATTTAAGACATACTTTAGTAAGAGTTGAGGCAATATTAAATAATATCAACAACAATTATTAAATAATATTATTTAAAACACACTTTAGTGAGAAATGAGATAATATTAAATAATATTAATAACAATAATTATTGAATATTAATTAAAGATATATTTTAGTAATAGTTGAGATAATATGAAGGCAGGCGGGTGGGTTGATGCTAATTTATAATTAACCGAGTACAAATAAGGTACAAGTAAGGTCAGGCGGGGGATATACTGAAATAACTTCAGCTCGATTAAAACCGACTCTTTGGTACCTATTCATCATCAGCTGCGTAGGAAACCATGCTCTATGAATTACACTCTCGTATCACCCGCGCACACAAAAATTGGGGGAATGCGCAACGCTTTACCTAGTACGTTTGACCAGTAAATAATTTATCCAATATGTATTTCTCCTGCTACCTAATATTTGGCTTTGAAGTAAATGAGTATTCGTTTCAAAAATAGCAATTTTGCATGGATGAATGCTCCAAAAGTGGCGAATAAACTCGATGTATCCGAGAAAAGTAACTTCTGTAATCCAGAAATGATTACAAATAAATGCAATGTATTTGTTTCGTTCACTAAGTGCGCTCAGTGATAAGTCAACTGTGCATTAGATGTCTTAATTGCAAGTTTTTCAATATTACGAATAAATGCAATTTATTTGTTTCGTCTACTAATTGCAATCAGTGATGAGTAAGCTGAGCATAAATGTTTCAATTGCGAGTTTATCAAGAACGTACCTTCTGAAGTCCAGAAAATGTGTGATAATAAGACGATACGTAGGTCATCACGGCTCTCTCATCGGGAACTCCTTCAGAAATATCTGCACACACACTCGGTTAGTGAGCAAACAAGTCTCGGTAAACATGCTAGTGCGATCGGGTTCCATGTTAACAACAGCCAGCTCAGTTACTATAAAATGCAATGAAATTAAAAACATCGACTATGTCAACGAAGCCGATAAGACATTCTGAATGTTATAGCAAACCAAAATTAGTAACAAACGAGAACATTGAACGGGTGAACCTATAAAGGCATACAGTGGTTATTATTTGGACTTAAATTGACTGGAACCAAGTGAATAATTCCAGTAAATATGATACCATCATGGAGAACTGGACCGATATTGTAAAATTTTGCTAGTTTTTGAAAGAAAGTTAATTAGGATGCTTGTTAACTTTCAAATTAAGATGATTATTAATACCATAAATGATTGAAGCTATAAATAAATAAAGTTGCATTCTCATTAGCAAGCAGACAATCGTTGTAGCAGCCACTTGGCAGTAAATTGACCGCTAGTTTCATTCAGTAGGGCGTGATGAAGCAAATTTTATTGTTAACACGATGACTAGTAATTAATTTTACAAGTAACTAATTTCAATTGAATGTAATTCAAAACAGCATCTGAGCCATTTTTCAATTAAAACAATCAAATAATAATGAGGGCTAAATCACTGAAAAACTTGAAAGACTACCGTTGGTGAACGGCTCACTAGGGATCCCCGCTGCTATAAAGAAACTCCGGAATTTCAGGCCAAACTTGTTTACAATTACTATGAAAACAAGCGCGCCAGTTAGGAAAAATGTAAGAGAATTGACAAAAAAATCAGTAGTATATATATACATATATATATTGCCGATGCAAGCTGTTAATGAGAAATACGAACAAATATCAATGAGTGAACACATGAGAAAATTTATTCTTCCGTGACACTCTGTACAAAACATTTGACTACACAGCACTTTGCGGTATCAAGTTAAAACAACTTTGTTATGAAACAAATTAAAGTGAAAAAATAAGTAAGATAAACTATGATTTGACATGGCATGATAAAACACTCACTGCAAGGGATGCTGCACAAGGTAAGAAAACATCGAGATGGTTATAAACAATGACTTGGAAGATACGCGATGGATTAAACGGGATGCTGTTGAATGTGGTTAATAATTAGAACTGCAGCAGAGACGAGGGGTTATTAAATCAACACTGCAGCAGAGACGAGGGGTTATTAAATCAACACTGCCAGAGACGAGGGGTTATTAAATCAACACTGCCAGAGACGAGGTATTATTAAATCAACACTGCCAGAGACGAGAGGTTATTAAATCAACACTGCAGCAGAGACGAGGTATTATTAAATCAACACTGCTGGTTATTAAATCAACACTGCAGCAGAGACGAGAAGTTATTAAATCAACACTGCAGCAGAGACGAGGGGTTATTAAATCAACACTGCAGCAGAGGCGAGGGGTTATTAAATCAACACTGCAGCAGAGACGAAGGGTTATTAAATCAACACTGCAGCAGAGACGAGAGGTTATTAAATCAACACGGCAGCAGAGACGAGAGGTTATTAAATCAACACTGCAGCAGAGATGAGGGGTTATTAAATCAACACTGCAGCAGAGATGAGGGGTTATTAAATCAACACTGCAGCAGAGACGAGGGGTTATTAAATCAACACTGCACTAGAGAAGAGGGGTTATTAAATCAACACTGCACTAGAGACGAGGGGTTATTAAATCAACACTGCCAGAGATGAGGGGTTATGAAACAAGACCGGAGCATAGACGATAGGTTATCAAATAAATCAACACAGAAGAAGAAACGAAGGGTTATTAAAACGTGAGAGCGGTTGCGGCAAAAAGTAACCACTGGAGCAGAGACGAGAGGTTATTAAACCAACACTGGAGCAGAGACGAGAGGTTATGAAGACAGGTATTAATTACCTGCTGCGCGCCCTGGAAAGCGTGGTAGAAGCATGACACGTAGGTCATGACTGCGCGCTCGTCCGCCTTGGGGCAGTTGACCAGATCTGAACAGCAGGTCAGAGAGAACACGTACACCCAAGCCATACAGGCAGCACCACAGGTTACAGAGAATTGAGTGAATGAGATAAAGAAGTGATAAAAAAGAGAAAATATAGTTATAATTAGCTACATAAAAAATGAAGTAGAGAATTTGGAAGATGACTAGCGAAGATGGTCAGGTCACAATTTGAAAACGTACAAGACTAAGAGTACCGTAATGATATCGAGTACAGGGACTTGATACCGCGAGTTTTCCACAGAAGCCAACGAACCAAAAGCAAATCAGACAGAAAAATATACAGCAGTAAAAATTCGTGATAAATGAAAGTAACAATGGCGTGCACGATGAGCACCGTGTAGCGGAGCAGAAGAGATACCACGTGAAAATAAAAGTTCGTTTATAAAATCGAATGAGTGCTTAGCAATAGATGTAAGTTACCAGATGCCGAGAGAATAAATGGAATAAGGACAGAATTCACTGAAACCTGATTAAGTTAAAAAACTTAGAAGTAGTAATAGTTCAGTATCTCCTTGAAGGACAGATTGATACATGTATTCTCCTTTTCTAAACAAATTCCAGCTGTAGAAAAGATACAAAACTAATAATAATAAATCGATGAGTTATATGCATTATTTACGTAGAAAAATCCCAGTGTATGACGATTGATCGCCATGGATCACATCTGGAACACAGCCACGCTCAGTGAGGGTAGATTCTTTTTGAACAAAATAAATTATATAAGATCAGGCGGCGGAACAGCTTGTGTACATACAAAAAAAAATTCTCACAGGGTGCATGCGGTTTTAGCCTCGTATATTGACCACATGGTGAGTGAACAATGAACAAATTAAAATTTTGAGAGCAGTTTACAAAAAACCCAAGCTCCGTCGGAAACTGAGGCTGCTAAATGCGCGGCGAGAGAGAAACTGAATTAAACTAGGCATACGTAAATATTAATTTCTAAATACGTCCTAGTTTTAGCAGTGTGGCTCCAACACTTATTTCTGGACAATTCACATGCGATTCAGGCGCGCTGATGGCAATATTTGATAAGTATTCTCAGAAAAATGTATGTGTCACTTGCTCTGAATAGTGACTCGCTTTTCGCATATGACACTGATAGTCAGGATCAGCTTCAGGATTCTTCAAGTGGGCTCAACTAGGACCTACAAAGGACAAAATTAGATCACTATTTGTACAAAGTCTCACTCATTTGTCTGATTGTGATGTTGAAAATGCTGTAGAAATCCACAGGAGTGCAGTACTCGACACGACTCGACTCGACCCACAAAGGACAAAAAAGTAGATGGCAATTTGTACAAAGTCTCACTCATTCGTCTGATTGTGATGTTTAAAATGCCGAATATATCGACATAAATGTAATAATGTTGATCACGTACCTTCAGCGTCCAACATGCGAGGAATATCGAGATGTTTCTCAGCGATGTCAAAGGCCAGGTTGAGGTTGTGCAGAGGATCGTCTTTGGACAACTGCGAGTAATCCAGCAGGTCGGGGCGGTGACGGTGGATCAGAGCGCAGAACGCAAGACCGTCCTGGACAAAGGCATCAGTGATGAGTTTTTTGTGAATATTGTTAGCTGTACAAAGACATCAGTGTTGAGTTTTTAGAAAATATTGTTAGCTGTACAAAGACATCAGTGTTGAGTTTTTAGAAAATATTGTTAGCTGTACAAAGACATCAGTGTTGAGTTTTTAGTAAATATTGTTAGCTCAGAACGCAAGACCGTCCTGAACAAAGGCATCAGTGTTGAGTTTTTAATAAATGTTGTATAAATTCAGAATGCTATCATGCTGAACAGAACATCATCATCATTCAATTTTGGATAAATATTATAAGCTTGGAATACAATCACTACACAACCAGGCCAACAGGTTTCTTGTTTGTAATCTTGCATGTAGGATTTAAAAAGTTCTTTGGCATTTTTTGAAACAACTCGAATAAAAAAAGTGAACGTGTGATGTTTAGTTTTTGCTACTACGCTGTATCTCTACTAACAGTTTCCAAATAGAAAAACAGTGATGCCACTCATTAAATTATATCACTCATAACTTGAATGATGAAGTACTTGGCCTACAAATAAATAAATTCATTTATGGAGACAGTGATAGACGAGAATTTACTGTCGTCAATGTTACAGGTATATAAAGGTTTGATCACGAAGTTATTGTCAGTAAATAAAGGTGAGAAGACATACCCTTTAAATCTTATGAAGTCATATACGGATATGGTTTTCAAACAAATACGTAGGAGATAATTATCTCTTAAAAAACCACATGTTAAGAGATTTATTATACCTTGAATGAAGTGTGGAAGTTCTGGACGTTAACATTCTTGTAAGGCGCAGTCTTGCGCTGGCACCAGAGCAGCAGTCCCTCCTTGGCCGTCATCTCCTCGACGCTGATGTCCTGGATAGCGAAGCGCAGGATGATCGTCCAGATCATGCCCAGCGTCATCTTCAGGTTACCGTCCACGATCTCTGGACCACGAGGTTAAAAAATTATTTCTCAGTTTATATACAATTTTTGTCGTGATCTCTGTGCAAGGCATCTAGCTAAATTAAGTGTAATTTTTTGTAACCGTCCACGATCTCTGAACGGCGACGTTGATAAATTATTTCTCAGCTTTATAAACAGTTTTTGTCGTGATCTCTGTGCAAGGCATCTGGCTGAATTAAGAGTAATTTTTTTGGCGGCAAGGTGCAGAATGCGATTATTTCAATCGACCTTAAAAAGAGGAGATGGCAAATTTCTCAATATATTTTTGTCCGATGTAAAATATTTCTAGTAATCATTTTTTAATATCATTTAGTAAAAGTTCAAGGTCTGTATTATAATTTATGAAATGAGTTATTGAACATTCGGGTTCGATAACTCATCACGCAAACACTCTCCTCCGAAAGTTAAATCTCGAATGAAACCAAGTAGCCAAATTAAAAATTGCACCGTTCGTCTAGGTAGTATATTGTTTGTGCAGGATCCCGTATATATTTTAATGTTTGCATGATAATTAAGTTATTTAATGTTGGGACAAGCAAGATCCCGCACATATTTTAATGTTTGCATGATAATTAAGTTATTTAATGTTGGGACAAGCAAGATCCCGCTAATATTCAAATGTTCACATGATAATTAAACTGTTTAATATTGGGACAAGCAATGTCCCGCTTATATTTAAAGTTTACATCATAATTTAATCGTTGTTCTTACCCTCAGCACCAATGGAGACGAGCTTGACGCCCTTGCTGGCGATGAAGTCGAGGGCTTTGTTGACGTTAGCGATCTTGTGGAACCTCATCTTACCGCGGTCAGGCTTAGGCAGCGTCTCGCCCGAGATAACCTGCCACGTCAAGCTTAGCTATTAGCATGTTGCTCCAATAAGGTGTAGCTCGAATAAGATGTACCATATATCAATAGGATGTATAGCAAATAGGATATATAGCAAATAGAATGCATATCGAATAGCATGTACAACAAATAGGATATATAGCAAATAGAATGCATATCGAATAGGATGTATAGCAAATAGGATATATAGCAAATAGGAAGTAGCTCGAATAGGATGTATATCAAATAGGATGGATCTTAAATACGATGGATCTTAAATAGTATTCATCTCAAATTGTATTTATCGCAAATGTGATGGATGTGCAACGTGAAACACGAAACATCAGAAACATGTTCAACAAAATCAATGTGGAATACGAGGCACTTGAAACGCAAAAAATCTGATGCAAAAGTAAACGAAACATGAAGTCGGCGAATCACGGAATAAATTAGAGATAAAACAGAATAGCGTAAATGAAATCTAAAAGAAACTCTTCAATTACGATCGAGTCTTTGAAATTCAATCATATTTTCACGAGCAAATACATGATTTCAAAATATTACTGGGAAGAACGATGTAAATATCAATTCAAAAGGACATCTCAGCTAGGATACCTTCAAAAATACTAGTAATTTACTGCACTTGGTATTATGATTTTCATTGCGTCAAGAACGTATGGATTGATTTTCACCATTATTTGTATGATCGCTTCTAATACAATACCACAAGAAGAGTCTATGCTCAAAATAAAGGCTAAATCCGTTCGAGGGCAAAGTTAACACTACAAGTCATCATTGCATAAACTACAAACGGCAGAATTAAGAAAAATGCAGATGATTTTGCCACACTTGATATACATAATCAATTTATAAATGGTGGGTACTCGGCAAATTTTCAAGAAGTATATTGAAGCAAGGCTGGTTACGTTTATCCCAAATACCAATTTACCAAATCATCCACAATAATTAAAGAAAAATTGGGAACGATTTGACCATACGTGAACGATATGTAAACTTTGTACCAAGTACATAGCAAATGCTTATTATGAAATATAGTTCCATTTATCCAGAATAGAGAATAATCCAATAATTTAAAGCCTAAGAGAACGCCGAATTCTCGGTGAAGTTACGATGTAAGCAGACTTTCGATATATAAGACCTGAATAAATATAATAAGTCCTTATATACGACCAAAATAAGGGAATAATCCATAAAGATTGTAAGTACACATACCTCGAGCAGCAGCATGAGCTTGAGGCCATTGCGGAACTCCTCGTCTATGCTCTCGATGAGGGTGCCTGCTTTGCGCAGGTGCGAGTTGCACCACGCCGTGAACGTCTGCAACACAATACAATATGACACAACATTAATACAATCTCTTCACTTATTACAAAGATGAATACAATGTATTTACTAATTAAAAAGATGAATAAAATTTATTCACTAATTACAACAAACTGCACCACGCCGTGAACGTCTGCAAAACAATAACAAGTTTACATTATAACAACGCGTAACACAACATCAATAAAATCTCGTCACTAGTTACAAATATGAATACAATTTATTCACTAATTTAAAAGATGATATAAAATTTATTCACTAATTACAACAAATTTTCTTACTGAGCACCAAGGCTCCACATGAACGTCTGAATAAAATGGTAATAGGACAGATTGCTCTTCACAACAAGGTCAACGAACAGACTAACTGAAATATTCTCATTTGATCATCAAGGATGGAAGGATCTTATAAGTTAAAGAGAAACAAGCAAATAGCAATAGATAAGGACTGTCTTAATGAGAGAGAATACATGACTAACTTCAGTCATAAGAAATAAATGCTACATTAAGTATAACACAGAAAAAGTTTCACATTGGTTGCTTCTCTTCAATAAGAAATGTATAAGTATTAATCGGCAAGGAGGCCGGGCGGTTAAGCACAGCAGAATTGTAGCAGTGCGTTGCGAGTTCGAGACCTCAAAATGCTGTGAATATTCTGCGATGTTAAGAATCGGCGACAGGCCTACGGCCTAATAAACGCTGAAACCGCTATTATTATTATTATTATAAGTAATGAAACAAGATGTAAGTAATAAGTATAAAAATTAGTAGTTCTTATCAACAGTGTAGTTCGAGGCATTCAGTATATGAATGAAGCCAGAGGACGCATTGTACAGATCGAGTATGGCATACATTTGAAAATTAACCAATGAAGAGGTGAAGTAGCGAAAATGGCTTGTAGCAACACCTGCACTTGCGACTATCAACAAGTGTTGTAACTTCGTAGTTTTTCATCAGCCAGGTGAACTGTGTTGCAGCGTTGCCGTTCACCTGGCTGATGTGTTGCAGCGTTGCAGTTCACCGTTGCAACCAAGAGTTGCAGCGTTGCAACCAAGAGTTGCAGCGTTGCAACCAAGAGTTGCAGCGTTGCAGCAGCAAGACGAGGCTGGCGCGCGGTATACAGAGAAGGTGGCGCGGCGAAGGCGCTATTTTAGCCTCGCGGGGGAGCCTGCGTGTACAGCAGCAACGGCAACTGCGCTGAGATCTCACTCCCCTCTGCTCCCTTCGAGACCTCAGCCCCTCACTGCCCACTTTAAAATCTCAGCCCCCCTCACTGCCCACTTTAAAATCTCAGCCCCCCCCTCAGCCCCCCCTCACTGCCCACTTTAAAATCTCATCCCCATTCACTGCCCACTTTAAAATCTGAGCCCCATTCACTGCCCACTTTAAAATCTCAGCTCCATTCACTGCCCACTTTAAAATCTCGGCCCCCATTCACTCCCCACTTTAAAATCCCAGCCCCATTCACTGCCCACTTTAAAATCTCAGCCCCCCTCACTGCCCACTTCGAGATCCCCTCCCAATCCCGAGGTGCACGTGCGTTAAAGAATCCTTAATATACTTCGTTATAGTAGAAATATTGTATAGGTATTTTTCACGGCACAAAAAACTAGTTATTCATTAATTGTTATTGCAAAACCGACTAATCGGCTTAGTTATAGAAGCATAAACTATCATGTGTGGGACATAAATCAGGTCGTGACCTAAAAAGCAGTATAAAGTTGGCAATTTCTTTGATGTTGTTAGGTTTACACCGCCGTAAATATTTGCACTGAGACCTGCTACACCTACGCACTGATGAAGCACAGCACATGTCAGCGACCTTCACTTTACTCACTACTAATTTAGTGATGAAACTGTGAGTGAAAATACGGTTCAGTGATGACTCACTTTACTCAGCGCTAATTTAGTGATGAAACTGTGAGTGAAAAAACGGTTCAGTGAGGACTCACTTTACTCAGCGCTAATTTAGTGATGAAACTGTGAGTGAGAAAATGGTTCAGCGATGACGAACAGGGAAAAAATTTAGTTTAGAAAAAAGAAAAACTTAATTTGACTAAATAAAAAACACAAAGTATATTTTCATAGACGTATTACTTATGACGAAATTTAATTTAAATAAAATGAAATGGGAAGGCAAGGAAAAACTTAGAAATCAAGAAAAACTTTATATCATAATAAATAATATAAATTATATTTTCAGAGACGTATTACTAATGACGAAATTCAATTTAAATAAAATGAAATGGGAAGCGATTAAGTTGTCTTTCTCGTTACCACAAAAACTAACTTGGCGCTTGATTCATCTTTACCACATGCAGAACAATCAGAAAGATATGCAAGTCCACTTCACTTCTAGAAAAGTTTAAAAATCCTTTTTCGCGTAAAGTGACTTCAAATAAATATATTGTATAGCTTCCATTTTAATAACAAAAAAGAATTTAACCACGAAACGTCCTTAAATAAATTTAATGTACAGCCTCCATTTCAATAATATAAAAGATGACATACACAATTTAAATCTAAGTATTCACTCGCTATATTTCCACCAGGTGTCAGAGAGCAGGCAAGGAACAACGGATTGTATGGAGCTCAAGCATGGCGGACGCACACACAGGGAAATAAGCGAGACTTTTTCTAAATAACGGGACCGATTTCACCATGCGTGTGTCATCTTGACTCAGTTGGCTCAGTAAGTCTTACAGCCGCTCTTTACAAGTAAGCGGGTATAGGTAAGTGCGTCACTATTTGGGCACTATACCCATTCATTCGTGTATAGGTAAGTGCGTCACTATTTGGGCACTATACCCATTCATTCGTGTATAGGTAAGTGCGTCACTATTCGGACACTATACCCATTCATTTGTGTATAGGTAAGTGCGTCACTATTCGGACACTATACCCATTCATTTGTGTATAGGTAAGTGCGTCACTATTCGGACACTATACCCATTCATTTGTGTATAGGTAAGTGCGTCACTATTCGGACACTATACCCATTCATTTGTATATAGGTAAGTGCGTCACTATTCGGACACAACAACCCATTCATTTGTGTGAGTGCAAGGGTCAGTTTATAGTTCATTTATCCCGCCTGCATGTACGAGCGCTGGCTGCAGGGGTCCTGGAAGACGGCAACCTTTTTGGCCCTCTTGACATTTGGCGGCCTTTACAGCGTCGCGAAATATCATAGGGAAAAATGCTCGCATTGCGCCGTTTACTGAATGTTGTACTTACAAATACCGAAAAATGCATCCAAAAACCTGAAAAACCGGAATTAGCGTAAAAATAACATATGTTGTACTTAAAAATGCCCGAAAAATGCATCCAAAACCGGAGAAGCCAGAATTAGTGTAAAAATAACAAGGGCATGAGGTGCAAAGCGAACATACAGTTTCTTCGTCGAGCAATAATTCGGAAGAAAGCTAGTCGGCACATACGAGAAAAGATGAATAGACTCTCTCGAATAAGCGTCAGTTAACTACAAAAAAGCGGGCAAAGTTACAATCTATACTAGCGTCGGTACTAATAAAAAAGGCTGAGTAGTCGGTCACATCGTTATGGTATCTCCGTCTATAGCTTGGGATTAATTTACGACAGTAACCGTTCAACGAGACGGAGGCCGTTCGAGCAATAGGAAGTAAAAGCTTCATTGCAGAGGTGAAAGAGTAAGTGATGAGATATTCACGTTCACTTTGCTGGGGCGACGTAAAAACGACCGCTTATCAGAATCCCAGAGGTCAAAGAGCTTCTGCAGGGAAGTGAACTCTTTTTTAGTGGAATATTTTTTAGTTTATAAAGGGTAAGGAGCTGCGTTATATAGTATCGAGGAAAGAATAAGGCCATGCATACAATGTCTAAGAATGCGGTTAGAATCGTAAATGTTAAGCAAAATACAGAAACAGTTTGAATTTGATTGTTCATACACATTAATCAATATTTCATTTGCAGATTCAGATATGTTTATTCAAACCGTAATTAAGTCTACATTCCTATAGTGCTGATGGGGGCAACTTTTAAAATCAATTTTTAATTTTTTTGGTAATCATAGAGAACACCAATCTCAGCCATATGGAACAAAAAATATTACTACCGAATTTAACATAATTTTCTAGTCACTCTATGCACACAAAATTAAGAAAAATGGTCTTGGTGTTCAAAGTCTTACTAAAAAAACACACACACACAATCCGCAACATTTTACCAACACATCCGTTCATATGAATCATGTCATTCGTTCATTCTATAGTTACAAACCGTTACCAAGACAATTTATCGGTGTCATTTTCCACAGTTTATTCCAGGTGTGAGGATCTTGAGAATATTAAGCTGTATAACTTTAACATTTCTCTCACGCAACACGGAAAGACAAGCGGCAGGGTTGCCTCGTGTATGATGAGCCACGGCGCGATCCCACGTAACACTAACATAGCTCATGAATTACACTGAAAAAAGAACAGGTCATGTTGTCCAAATAGTGACACACTTTCTGCTTGTAGCACTTATGTGCCCTTATGTGTGGCACATCGATGTGGGTGCAAAATTGAATCGGGATGGCTCGCACAATGACAAAAAGTGCATCGTAATGAAGAAAAAGTATCGCTCAATTTTTGCGAGTGTATACCTACAGCATTGAACATCATCAAATGGGTAAGGAGCGATTCAAGAGAGATAACAATCGCACTAGAATGTGCCGAATTCCACGAGTTCAATGCCACAAAATTGTGAGAAGAGTTTACGGGAATTGCAGCGAGTGAGCAAACGTTTAGCACGAGAAGTGTAGTGATTATTTCACAAGGAAGTGATTATAGAGCAGGCATGGGCATTGAACGGCTCCACAGAATATATACATAATGTGGCCCGCATGTATGCATACCGTAAACTGGGGTAACTTAGACTCCCGGGGTAACTTAGACCACTTTTGTTTTTTTTAACAAAAACCCCCAAAACTCAAAAACTATTTGACATAGAAAAATTCTGTCAATGGGCATTAAA